CTCATGCACTCAGCCAGGAAGGGTGAAATGGGGAGAAGGGAAATAAGAGAAAAGCAAACCATGTGTATGTACCTTGAAGTCAGTTGTCAGTTTATGCTGACACCATGAATTTCATAGGGCTTTCTTAGACAAAGAATATTACGAGATGGTTTTGGCAGTTCTTTCCTCCGAAATGCATACCTTTGGCACCTGGAATTTATTGGAAAATAAGTAGGGCTGACCCTGCTTGGCTTCTAAGGACAGGTGAGATCTGGTGCCTTTAGGGTATTTAAGCTCCAAAGGCAAGCAAAGGGGTTTTTCTCAATTATGTAACATGGATGTTTCTCAGAAACAAAGCATTAGAAAAGCAAATTGTTGCTCTCTTGCCTTTCCACGTGGCTTCGTCAGACTAATAAGATAGGACTGCATCTGTTAAAAAGCTTCTTCAAACACATTTATTTTCTATGAAAGTAAATGATAAATAGCTATCCATAGAGGAGGTCCTTTCAGTTCACCTAGTGAAGCCTTCCATTAGATAGCTTTGTACGATTTTCTTAAAGGCACACAGTTTGTATATCTGATACAATTGTACATAAACCTTTATATTTTAATGGAAGGGCAACAAGAAGCTCTTCAACTAGAATCTCCATGTAACATTGTATCCTGCATTATATTGTTTCCTGGATTTGTCTTTTCTTTATTGTTCACCATCTATTTCCAGAGCCTGTCGCGGCACAATGGGTTGAACCATTTTGGTGACTGAACTGCTGACTGGAAGGTCGGCATTTGAATCCAGGGAGCAGGGTGAGCTCCCATCTGTCAGCTCCAGCTTCTCATGCGAGGACATGAGAGACATCTGGGTATCCTCGGGTAATGTCCTTGCAGGTGGCCAATTCTCTCACACCAGAAGCAATTTGGTGTTTGTCAAGTCACTTCTGACATGAAAAAACAAACCATCTCTTTCCTCATATTTTCAGAACTCTGCCCTCTAATAACTCTATGCACTATGCACACAAGTCACACCAATGAAATAATAAATGATGCAATTTACACCCAGGTTAATTTTTTTTTACACCCAGGATAAAAAAAATCATTCAAAAGATATCTTGGTGACTGAACTATCAGTCTGTTGGACTTAGACACTGGAGGCTAGGTTTCAAATCCTTGTTGGGTCAAGGACACCAACATGGGGTACACCTACACTTTAGAATTAATGCAGTTTGACACCACTTCAACTGCCATGGCCCAGTACTGTAGAATAATGGGAGTTACAGTTTGATGAAGCACCAGCACTCTTTGGCAGAGAAGGCTAAAGACCTTGTAAAACTACAACCCTTACAATTCTATAGTATTGAGCCATGGCAATTAAAGTAGTGCCCAGCTGTATTAATTTTTGAGTGATTGGCAAGTCATGTTCTCAGATGTCCCTTCCACCCAGCTGTATGAAATCCACATTGAACTGGATTATATGGCAGTGTGGACTCAGATAATCAGTTCAAAGCCAATATTATGGATTCTCTGCCTTAATATTCTGGGTTATATGGCTGTGTGGAAGGATCATCAGACTCACAGGAAAACAAAAGCAAACCCCATCTAAATGAATTCTGCCAAGAACCCCCATGTTAGGTGCCCACAATTCAGAAATGGCTTAAAGACACACAAGAACAACAACAATAATGGGGAGTGTGCTGCTCTATTCTGTTCCATTGTTCCTGGATGATTTCTTTTACTAAGGGGAATGGAATCAGTCACCTGTTCAAGATCTTCCCGACTATAGGGTGCCTACATGGAGTCCGCTTCCTCTCTGTCATCTAATAAGCCAGGAGTCACTGATTTCTGTTATTTGAGGCCCTGGATACAGATGTAATACTAAGCTATTTATTCCTGATTTGTTATAGCCACTTCTCTTTGCAAGAGTAGCCAAGCAAAACATAATTCTGCAATATGTACCCATTCATTATAAATTGACTCTAATGACTCCTGAAATCTTGGCTTACTGTTTTGTCCAAATGGTCCCACTATTCCTATGCCACAACAGTACCTTATTTATCTCTTTTGTGAGGAATGCTCTGTATATATGAAGTCTCTGGTAATGGCATTTTGTATGTTGAGTTAAAAGCTTGAAAATTAGGAAGCCACTTGGTCTTGTAGAGACTGGTTATCATCACACAGGGCATATTTCTACTTGCACTCAAGTAAAATTGTCAAAATAACCTTGTGATTGTTTTAGTGATGTGTGTCTCTTGCCAAAATCTTCTCTAAGATCACCTATGTTTCAAGGTTGTTGTTTTTTGCTATGCTTTAGAAAGAAATTTCATATTTATTACAAAAATAGAAAGGCATCCCAGTATTGAAATCCCGCCTCTCCTTATTCCTTGTTATGATTCCATCATTTGTGTGTTTTCCTACCTTCATGAAATAGTTTCCATTGGTATAATATTAGGACATCAGAACCTGGAGGAAATGATTTTATAGGTTTTACAGCAGAATGGATTATAAAAGCATCTCTCAGTTGTGTGTAACATGCAGCTCAGTCCACACTGCACAAACATGCACGAATCATGCACAAACATGAACGAATTGCTATGCACACTGCACATATCTTATTTGTAGTGCAAAAACACATAAAAGAACAATACAATATTCTAAATGAAGAACAATTTTAACCAACATGGACTCGAGTCCCGCCTATTTACATGACTGCATCTCCCCCTATGAACATGCTCGGACCTTATGATCTGCTGGGGAGGCCCTCCTCTTGATCCCACCTCCCTCACAATCAAAGTTGGTGGGAACGAGGGAGAGGGCCTTCTCTATAATGGCCCCCTGACTCTGGAATGCTTTCCCCAAGGAAATTAGACAAGTATCCACTTTGTTAATTTTAGGAAGGAACTAAAAACTTGGCTATTTAAGCAAGCCTTTGAGAACGGCCAGACTGTAACTATTGGAGAGGACTTGAATGACTATGAGACTTTAATCGTAACTGCTGGATAGTTCAATAATAAGGATGACTTATTTAAACAGTGATATATATCTAGATTGTTTTAAAGGGCAAATAGCTTGTAATTGTTATTTATTACAAATAAATTTTGTAATATTGTGGTGAAGTGTGAATTTTAACCTACGGTTATGTATAATTATAGATAGGTGTTTAAAAGGGTAAGTATTTAAAATAACATAACTGGGAGGGATGGTAGCCAGCTCAGCTCACTCTGAGCTGGGTTGCCATGGGAAAAGGGGAGGAGCCAACTGCCACTTGGCAGGGCAGGCATTTTAAAACAGTCAGTCTGTAGTCTGAGAACTGCAGGAAAGGCTGGTTCTACAGTGTTGAGAATCAGGGAAGCAGTCTGTAGTTAGAGAACTACAGGGAAAGGCTGGTTCTACTGTGTTGAGAACTAGGAAGGTTTAGGTTTTTAGCCTGTGTGGTTTACTTATTTAGATTAGTAATTAATGTATGAGCAAAAAGGGGGAGAGAACCCCAGTAAGAACCTTTACTGCAACAGAAATAACATCGGGAAAGAATAAGCTAGTACCTGAAGGGATCTGTTAAGGGAAGAAACACAGTTTGAAGAAAATTAAGTTTAAAACCTGTCTAGTGGAAGGAACAGTCCTCTCAAGAGTTGTTTTATGAAATGTTATAAATGTAACCACTGAAGAAATGTGACTCTAGGAGTTAAGAAACATTGAAACCATTAAGCTTCTTCTATACTTCAATAAACTTGTTACAGTTTCTCTTAAAGTCAAGTCTCTGTTATGAATACTTTCAAGTCAAGCTGCACACATTGGAGAAAGACCAACAAAGTATTACAAGCTATTAACTATGTTATCAATTTTATAAATCCATTACAACTAGTAGGAGACCCTGATAAATCTGTGACAGCCCTACTGCTTCTGATGTCGCCTTTACAAAGTGGTAGCGTTGTTACAAAGTGGTGGCGTCTTTGCACCTATGTTATTTTAAATTGTATTAAGGTGATAACGGTTTATTGTTTATTCTTGTTTATTTTTTTCTATATAATTTTTGTATCTGTCACTTGTTGTAAGCCACCCCAAGTCCCTTTGGGAGAGGGGGCAGGGTATAAATAACGTTTTATATTATTAGTAGTATTATTATCATCCGTATTTCAATGGGAAGTGTGGGCCTGCTTTTGGCTAATGAGATAGTCAAGTTAATTAGCATTGTTGTTGTTGTGTGCCTTCAACACAATTCAGACTTAGAGTGACCCAGAGGGGCAGGTAAATGACCTTGGAGGGCCATATCCGGCCCACTAGCCTTAGATTGGGGATCCCTAGTGTGGACTCATTTGATGCAGTTGAAATGCATTATATGGCAGTGTAGATGGTGACTGATTCCTCACTCACTGCATCATTGTGACTTATGCAAAGGGAATAACTCGTTTTGGAACAGCTCCTTTAAAATTATTTTAAAAGCTCTTCACTCTGACAATTAAAAATGGTAATATAAAAGCAGATGGTGTGCTAAGACACAAGGGTAGGGAGAGAAGCAGGTATTAATTTCACATTGAAATGTAAAACTTTTATGACTTCTGAGATGAGTTATTCCTATATGTCTCTTGGTCTTGATAGTAGCAGCAGTTAATCAAGTACACAAATTACTAATGCCCAGTCTTGGATGAAATGAGCTGTGCGAAAAAGTGAAGGCAAACATGGCCCAACTGTTCATACAATGGTTACATAAGATATGTATTGAGCGTTACACACCTTTGCTCGCAATTTACTGCAGATCAGCATGTACTCTAGTTCTCTTCCCTCCAATTAAAATGACAAACAAAAAGCGTCCCCCCCCCCATGTTTTTCTTACCAGGAGGGCTATGCAAAGAGTCACATGCTTCAGGAACTGACAATATAAAAGCAAAAACAAACCATCACGCACCACTCTTGTGGTCTTAAACACCCCCTTCCATGGTTTTACTTCTTCCATTTTAGCTAAAGAGCAAAAACAAAGTTATAGGACTTCATCTGAGGGACTCAAGTCTTAGTAGAGGTTTTAACCTGTGGAAATGGATCTCCTCCATAGCAATGGAGTGCTTATAATTCAGCATTTGCAGAAGGATTACAGGTCTTATCAGAGCTTCCTCAATTTCATGTCACACGTTGGAGATCCTCGGAATATTTTCTCAATTTATTTTCCACTCTGGTTCCAGCTTAACCGAGTGGTTGGGACAAAAATGATCTGGGTGGCAGTGATTGGCGATTGGTTCAATCTTATATTTAAATGGTAAGGCTACTTTGAATGCTTCTTCTGAACTTCCTCAATGTCTAGAATACATGCCCATTAGAGATAAGAAAGCTTCCAGAAGCTGTGATTTGCTTGTTCACAGTATTTAATACCTAGAGTTTGAAGTGTTGACATTTTCCCCTGTGAACTTGCAAAAAAAAAATAATGGAAATATTTACAAATCCAGCTTTTGCAAAATGATTGCTGTTTTAGTGAACAAACAAGTACAATTGATTTAAGAGAAATCGTATATTACTAGATAATGTCTTGTGTTTGTGTGTTTACTGAAGATACTGTTTTCTTTTCTGGCAGGATTCTGTTTGGTCATCGGCCATATTGGTGGGTCCAAGAAACAATGATCTATCCTAACCAAACAATCCCATGTCTTGAGCAGTTTCCCATAACATGTGAAACAGGACCAGGTAAGCAATTAGTATTGGATGGATGTGCTCAGTCCAGAAATTTACCATTTGGGCACTGAGGGCCCTTCCATACAGCTCTATATCCCAGAATATCAAGGCAGGAAATCCCACATTACCTGAGTGTGGACTCAGATAACCCACTTCAAAGCAGATCTTGTGGGATTTTCTGCCTTGATATTCTGGGTTATATGGCTGTGTGGAAGGGCCCTGAGTAATGAAAAGTTACTTTCAGAATATTGAGTTAGGGCTCTTCCACACAGCCATATAACCCAGAATATCAAGGCAGGCACAACAACAACAACAACAACAACAACAACAACAACAACAACAAAAGCCACAAGATCTGCTTTGAACTGGGTTATCTGAAGACCCTTCCACACAGTCCTATATCAGAATATCAAGGTAGAAAATTCCACAATATCTGCTTTGAAGTGGGTTATCTGAGTCCACATTCAGATAATGTGGGATTTTCTGCCTTGATTTTCTGGTATATAGGGCTGTGCAGAAGGGACCTCAGTCCACAATGCATATATCTCAGTTCAAAGCAGATAATGTGGGATTTTATTCAGCTGTGTGGAAGGGGCCTCTGTCTTGAGTGGGAGGTAAAATTAAAGAAATTAAAGTGCAGGGGACTTACATTCAAAGATGGGTCAACGGTATTATTATTATTATTATTATTATTATTATTATTATTACGGAATGAAGGTTTTGCCAGCACTTCAGTCAACAGCTTGGGTATTCTGTATAATTTACACTTGCATTTAGTGGGTTCAACCATCCTTTCCCTTCAGAGTCCCCTTGCAATGTAGCTTTTCATCTTATGGTTTGTTTCATCCTAATTATGAAGGGATCACCATGAGGCTGCTGAGGGAAAGCACGCTAATGCTTGAATTGAGATTTTTTTTCCTTTTGTTTGTTAAAATAAAAAAGAAGGGGAAAAACAAAAACAAGAAACTTAGATCAAATTGCCTTTAAAAATAAGATCATACTTTACTTGAACATTCACTGACTTTCTTGAAAGTCACTAATAATTGTCGTCCCCCCCTCCCTTTAAGTGCTGTCAAAGACTTCAACAACTCAAATCCAAAAGGGTTTCACTCAGTTTATGCCTTGCAGAAACCTTGATGATGGAAGTTAAGCTGTCCATCAGAGAGAATCTTCCTTAATATAATTCACAAAGTTTCAATACAGTTTTTAGAAAGTTGGATGTGCAGTGGAGCACAATGTTACTTACCCAGGCCCCTCTATTCCACCCTTTGACCTGGCAACATCAACTCCTATTGCCTGGATGCAAGGAATGGGAATCGGACTCATAGATGTCACCCTCCAAGCCTCCCATGACAAAGGGACTGTTTTCACCAGTTAGTGATTCCTTGTTTGGCAATCACCATTTCTAGTACCGGTATCTCACCAAAGTTGCTAAGGGACGCACCACCACTTAAACCAGGAGGTTCCTCTATCTCTTTCATGAGGAATAAAGGATCCCTAAAATGTTTGGGGGGCATATTTGTTTCATCTGATGAGGGTTCATTACTAGATTTATTAGAGTGAAATGAAAATCCCAGACTCCAAAATGTGTACCAGCATATCAATTAGTGAAGAAATAAATAGTTTAGCATGGAGAGTGCATAAAATGTTCCTGAAAAACTGGGGCATCATAGTTGCAGTTATATGTGTCAGAGTCTCTCCACCCAGGGTTTTAGGTATGGAAGCCAATTAAAGAGCTTAGGACAGACCAACACTGTAAACATTCCTGAAAGGTGAAGGCCTACATTAGCTGCTTGAAGAGTGAGATGCTTCCAGCCTCTCATGTAACACAGCTTTACCAGTGGGCTGCACTAGATGTGGGCTGATAGTGACATGATGAAAGCTCTCTGTGAGCAGCTTGCTCCAGGCAAACAATTTATCATGCACAAGCAGATGACAGATACCATCGCAGGGTACCAAGAATGGCTGGAAGGCACACAATGCTGTTCCAACAGTGAAGCAAAGCAGATTTCAACCTGTAAATTATCTGGTTAGTATACTGCCCCCATCCACTCTGAGCAACTTAGATACAAAATGGGGGCGGGGGAGACAGGGATGAGTTAAATACAACTTTGGTGTATACTATTTATAGTGGAGCTTTCTAACTTTGTCTGGAGACAATACTACATTTGTTTTCTGGAGAGTCTTCTTGAGACAAGTAGTTGGATTTAAGCTGTAGCTTTAGATGATGTTCTCATGGCTTTTGGTACTCTGCCATCATCTTGTTTTATTATTTCCATAGGAAGCCCCTCTGGTCATGCCATGGGATCTTCATGTGTTTGGTACATAATGGTGTCAGCAGCCCTTAGCTATACAGTGAGACAGAAAGATAAAACAGCTATCAACCTCCACAGGTCAGTCTCTTCCCATAATTCATAGTTTCTGCTTGAGTGACTTTATTCATTTCACATATAACAGTCACGGTACAAACAAACAAGGTACAAACAAGGTACTGTTGGATTGCTGTGAGTTTTCCAGGCTGTATGGCCATGTTCCATACAATTGTTCTTACTCTGTGCTTTGTTCCACCAACAAAGTATATGGAAGTTTTCTGGTGTTCATTTGCTTAACATATCACTTGTATATAAATGAGACTTGCATTGAGTCCCCCCAGGGAGAGAGAGTGGGATAGAATTATTATTATTATTATTATTATTATTATTGAAAGCCTGAAAGCAAATGGGCTCTCTCTCTGTCCATTTGGAGACTTTGGATAGAATTCCAGATATTCAGCACCTGTGTTTTTGTCTGAGTTTGTCAGAACCTTTGGTCCATTCTCTCAAGTTCAAAAAGTAAAGGAATAAAGAGTGGAAAAGATGATATAGGAAAGTATAGAAAAGGATGAAACTGAGAGATGAAAGGAGAAAAAATAGAAATAAGTTGGTCTATGAGACAGTGGTGGCTGGTGGTTTCCATATTACTGGGGCTATGGATCCAGATTCTAAAGAAGCTCTCCAGGGTACTAATCCCAAAGTAAGATCAGCACCTGGGTTGGTTCCTTTAAGGCAGACATGAGCAAACTTCAGCCCTCCAGGTGTTTTGGACTTCAACTTGCACAAATCCTAATAGTTTGTAAGCTAACTGGAATTTCTGGGGGTTGAAGTGCAAAATATCTGGAGGGCCAAAGTTTGCCCATGCCTGCTTTAAAACTAGTCAAAACAAGGGGTGGATTTTCTGTCCCACTGAGAGCAGAGCCACCAGCTACCATAGAAGCTGCAGAGAACAATTCATAGTTGGATTTGTCTTTTGGACTACAACTTGCAGAACTCATTGCAAGCCAGCAAAGAAAATAGTAACTTTCTAAGCTCTGGGAAAATGAAAAAGGATCTTTATAATCCATTGCCTATTATTTTTTCAATACCCTATCTTTTCTTTTACAGACTCACCTGGTCTTTCTTGTGGAGCGTGTTCTGGATTATACAGATCAGTGTGTGCGTGTCAAGAGTATTCATAGCAACACATTTTCCCCATCAAGTTATCCTTGGAGTAATTGCTGGTAATAGGAGTGGTTTTCTTCTTCTTGATTAATGTATAGATTTGGGAAACAATGGAAAATGTTTTTGATATAATAGCTGGGATTTAAAGCAGGGAAATAGGAAATATCTAATCTGGAATTTATTTTGACAATTGGTCCATGCCATGAAGCTTGTTTTCAAAATCTGAAGCATGTTCTACTCTATGACTTTATTTTATAGTGTGTTGTGGATAGTAAGCTCTTAAATTATGGCATGTTTGTTAATATTCTGATTTTTGAAGTCATGAAGTTCTCTGCAGGAGAATAAGTATAAAATCTATTTGAAATGATATTTGAACTTGTTGGGAGCTGTGCAGACAGCCTGTTAGAAAGTGACAGAGAAAGGTTCTCCATGAAGAAAATAATCAAACAATGTTTGGAAAGTTACTTTTTGGACTGCTGCTCCACAAAACTCCACTTAGCATGACCAATTGTAAACTAAAAATCATTATCATTCAAGGAGGCAATGGAACAAAATTAGGATAGCTGAAAGTAGAGATCAGATTAGACTGTATACTGTTGATTCTCCTCTGAATCTAAGCAAAGGGAAAGATGGAAGATGTAGATTGTAGCAAGTCACTTTGAATCTTCATGCAGTCTAGTATTTCCTTTTCAAAATTAAATAGATACCATTGGATGTGCCCATGAAAAGGGCATTAATAGGGCCTATCTACTGTTGTGCCCCAGCATCCAGTAGGTTAAGCTGACTGGGAGTTGTGACAGACTGACATGCAAGGAACTGCACATTGTGGTCATAGAGCTAAAGCAAGGAAGACTAAGGAAATACAAGACTGATGCTACCTCTGTTGGACCTTTACAAGGGACTTCCTTGTAAAGGTCCTTCTTGACAATTGCACAAAGACTTTTAGAGGAACAAAACTGTGACCCAAGGTGCTATGGCTGGTAGATCTTGGGTGGGCTTCTGTGGCTGTATTCGTACACATTGATAACACTGTTTCTCACATGGATTCATCTTGTGAAATTCTGGGATTTGTAGTTTGCTGAGGGATTTAAAACTCTCTAGTACCTTGAACTACAGCTTCACAGGTAGTACCTCATAAAACAACAAATCCCAAGATTCCATAGGATATAGTCAAGGCACTTAAAGTGCTATCAGAGTGCTGTATTTGCATAGTATGGATTGTCAGGTTGGATATGGGATTGGACACTTTTAACTGGAAGCCTGGATAGATTGAGGGACAGGATGAGGTAGCAAAAAACACCCTGAAGCCTGGCAAAGGTGCCCACATTCCTTATCGTTCAACCTCACACTTTTATTTGCAGTCATTCTCTTTCAACAGAGCTCTCGCTTCTCCAAAGGAAAGTGAAAACAGAGTGCATAGAAGTGCTGGTAACAAGAACAAAGCCTCTTCTCCCCACTGGGAAGGCAACAGTCCTAATGGGATGGGATGGGATGGCTTTGCCCAAAATGAAAGGACATTTATTTATTTATTTATTTCGTATACTTCTACCCTTCTCAACCCCCGAGGGGGGACTCAGGGCGGCTTACAAAATGGCATAATTTGGTGCCTATACAAATACAATAACATATAAAACAGCAATTAAATGGTTAACAATTAAAACAATTAAAACAACAATATATCTCACAGTCGATAGCCAATCTCAAACACAGTGTTCGCTAACTCAGGGTCCATACTTCGTTCCACATTGTCTATTCCTATCCGTCGTCGACATGCAGGTATCTTTGCCTAGCTTCACAGAGTTTCAAAGTACAAAGCACCTTGGGACCTACAGAGGGTTGCTTCTGTGTAAATATCAGATTCAGTGGATGCTCAAGTCCCATAATGTACAATGGTTTAGTGAAGTGGCACAAAATGGAAACATTAAGGCTTGCTTTTTGGAATTTTTTTCTCAAGCCATGGTTGGTTGAATCTATGAATGCAGAGCCCATGATACGAAGGACTGAATGTAATTCATCCTGTTTTTCTGTAAAAGCCTTGGCATCTGTCAATTTCCATTTTGCCTGAATCCATATTATCTTACTCTCATGTTCTTTCCATTTTGACTATGACAATATTTTAAATCCTAGGAAATTCTGATAAACAACCAAGTGAAATAATACCCTATCTCTATACTGATCTGTACAAATCCCAAAATCAGAAACTGTCAAGTCTGTGTCCAAGTACTAGAAACAATTATTTAAACATGACCTTTGGGTTCTGTCGTAATAATTTCCAGTTAAGCAGGAATACATTTTACAGTCAAGTCAACATCTTTTGCAGTTTTAAAGTTAAGTCCGGAAATCAATATTGCTTGTGTAAATTAATCAATTCTAATGCCTCATTTCTATTTCACAGGTATGTTAGTTGCAGAAGCATTTGAATATGCTCCGGCCATTCAGACAGCAAGCTTAAAGACATACATCCAGACCAATGTGTTTCTCTTTGTTTCTGCTCTTGGCTTGTATCTGGTTCTCAAGCTGATTGACATTGACCTTCTATGGTCTGTACCGAAGGCAAAGAAATGGTGTGCCAACCCAGAGTGGATCAATATCGACACGACTCCCTTTGCTGGACTGGTGAGAAACTTGGGTGCCCTCTTTGGGCTCGGTCTCAGCATTAATTCTGACATGTTTGTCATAAGTTGTAAAGGTAAACATGGTTATAAGCCCAGTTTCAGGATGCTCTGCATAGCCACTTCTTTGGCTACCCTGCAGCTGTATGATTTTATCAAAATACCTACCCACACTGAGTATTTGTTTTACATCCTTTCCTTCTGCAAAAGTGCTGCCATACCACTCACAGTAGTGGCTTTGGTCCCATACTGCATACATTTGCTAATGAAGCCAATAGAAAAGAAGCTTCCATAGCTGTTAGATTGCATTTGGTATTGGAAGAACCTGGGACATATACAAGGCCCATCTTTGAAGGCTTGCTTTCTTCTGTTCTGAACAACCATAAGCACAATTCTACATAGAAAATCAAAATGGATAATTACATCCCTGGGGGGTTTGTAATTCAAAAAAAGAAATTGTTTGGCCAGGCTTTTGATTTAATTTTCCCAATACTATAAAATGTAACAAAACAGCATAATTTGTCAGAACTTCCATTGGTTTTGGAAGATTTTGTGAATATTATTGGTTGTTAAGGCTTGATGGGGATGCCCATCTGTAATATGAAAGGTGCTTTACCCACCTAGTCCTCCTTTCCAACCCAAGAAAAGTATTGGTTTATTCAATACTGCTTTTTATATATGTGTACAGATTTGTGTATGTATAAATAGACAGATAGATATAGAAGTATGTACAGTTACTAATAGAGGCAACATACATTCCACAAGCACAGATCTTTCATTTTCCATATTATACCGTTGGGTTCTCCCTAACATCTATATCAGTGGTTCCCCCCCCCCTTTTTTTTTTTACCAGAGACCACTCTCCAACATTAGTACCAAAAGGGTTACCAATCAGGTTTTGGTCAACAATAGATTTGCTTTATTTGGGTTGCTGATTCATAAAGTTGCATTGAATAGACCACATCAGCTGTAGTTTCTGATACAGAACATAAGCCATCCAGTAGTCACCCTCTGCTCACCCACAGAAAACCATATTTAATCAGCCTCAGCACTATAAGAGGGTTTTGCGAGACCAGTCGCTCTCGTTGCAATGGTGTAGTAACAGTGAGGCCGCAGACCATATTTTAGTTGTTGTGGACCACTGGTGGTCCACGGACCACAGGTTGGGAACCACTGATTGAGATATTCAGCAATGTATATGGGTTGCTCTATATACTGACCTCTGTTCTGACATCTATTTTGTGACTCTGCTTTTTTCTTGTTTAGATGCAAAGATGTCCATTTTTCAGACCTTTCTATTAAGAACCAAATTTTAGACTTCCAGGTATCCTAGAATTAGCATGAGCCGGATGAAGTGCACATTTCTCTCACTCCCATGTACAAGGCAAGACATAGGCTGCAGGCTTGAACTCACTTAGATAAGCCTCATTAAATTCAATTGGATGTAATTTTGAAAGACATGCATTGTATTGTGCTATAATTCACCGGAAACTGAGTAATGAATGTATAATAAAATTTGGTTAACGTAAGATCCAGCCATCTGAGTCAAATACTTTCAAGACGTAATTATTAGTTTTTTTTAAAAAAAAATCTGTCAGATTTTTCTGCAAAGATAAAGCAAAAGTAATTACTTACTCCGAAACTATTTTTCTCAAGACATACCCATAGGTCACACGTTTTGCACTGATATGTCATTTTCAGAAATCCTGCATATATATGAATGCTGCCCTCCTCATTTGGACATGTACAATTTTGAGATGAAAAAGGAAATAATGTAAATGTCTTGAACACTGCTCTCAAAGAGAGACACACCAGAAAATATTGACGTTATACATTTGAAGCTCTTAATACAAATGGATCAATAGTAGATGGGTCCAGAGAGAGAAGAAAAGCCAGCTATGGACATGGTCTTCATTCTGTCTACAGAGCACACTGAATAACCATATGCCTGAGTCTTTTTCATTTTCACAATAGGCTTACTAGGATAGTTGCTCGTATTATTGATCTACCTTTGTAGACAAAGATATTTTATGTCTAAAGAGGATAAAATGGGGCCACTGTGGTGCAGCAGATTAAACGGCTAAGCTGCAAAACTTGCTGACTGGAAGGTCAGTGGTTCAAATTTGTGGGATGGGATGAGCTCCCACTGTTAGCCCCAGCTTCTGCCAACCTAGCAGTTCAAAAACATGCAGATACGAGTAGATCATTAAGTACCACTTTGGTGGGAAGGTAACGGCGCTCCATGCAGTCATGTCAGCCACGTGATCTAGGAGGTGTCTATGGACAATGTGAGCTCTTCGGCTTAGAATGGAGATGAGCACAACACCCAGAGTCAGACCTGACTAGACATAATATCAAGAGGAAACCTTTATCTTTACCTTAAAAGGAACAAAACCAGCAAAAACTGACATTGGACACTGTACAGCTAAAAAGAATGTGGCCAATTTTACTCACTTCTGAACTTTTACCCTCATAGGCTTGTTCAGGAAAGCCATTGTAATATTGCTTTGTGAAAACAGAAGATATATATATGCTCATAAAGGCAGTATGCAATCTATTTTGAATCTGCATTTACAATCACCAGCAATCTAATACACTTAAAAACCTGAACTTGTGTATTAGATTGCTGGTTTCTATGATATCTTGTAATTAAGTAAACATATGTCCAGTTGTCCACACATTTCTGTACATATAAAACATTCATTCTGAAGAGACATGCTTTTTTTTTGCTTTTAGATGATCCTACATGTTTTTGAGCAGGCATTGTTTTTGAAGAAGTGTTCTGTCTTGTGTGTAGAAGAAGGATGGACATATCTTCTCAGATGGTGTCGACCACTTTTGGTCTTCATAAACACTTGTATAAATATAAAATACCATAACCATGTTTGTTTGTTTTTTTCAAAGTGTGGTGTTTTTTATCAGGTCATATTTAAAATTGATCAAATTTACTCAATTAAGGGTGCATCTGCCCTATAGAATTAATGCAATTTGACACCACTTTAACTGCTAGGGTTCAATTATATGGAATCCTTGGAGTTGTGGTTTGAGGAGGCACTAGCAGGGAAGGCAAAGATAGTGTACTGTCAAAGGCTTTCATGGCTGGAATCACTGGGTTGCTGTCAGGTTTTCAGGCTATATGGCCATGTTCTAGAAGCATTCTCTCCTGATGTTTCACCTGCATTTATGGCAGGCATCCTCAGAGCTTGTGAGGTGACCTCACAACCTTTGAGGATGCTTGCCATAGATGCAAGTGAAACGTCAGGAGAGAATGCTTCTAGAATATGGCCATACAGCCTGAAAAAGCTGCAACACCACAAGGCAAAAACATTATATAAGCTTCAACTGCCAGCAACCCATAGTATTGGCCCATGTCAGTTAAAATGGTGTCACACTGCATTAATTCTACAGTGTAGATGCACTCTAAGTTGGGTGAAGAACTGAAGGTTTTATCCACCTTCCTCCATTGATGTGAGAAGGGAGAGCTAGTATGATATTGTAGTTTAAGCATTGGACTGTGATTCTGAAGACCAGGGTTCAATCCCTGTTCAGACAGGGGCAGGTCACTATCAGCTTCAGAAAAAGGCAAACCCTCTCTGAATAAATCTTGTCCACCTGGCAAAGCCACCCGTGACTATTCCTTGCCTATGAAAAGCCATAAGTTGACAAACCACTTGAAGGCATATGCATTTTCCTTGAACTCTAACCTGTTCCTTCTTTCAGACACTCTTCCCTTCCAGCTCCCACATAAAAACCCTGATCCCGATGAAGTGTGAAAATGTCAACTCTAACTTTGAATTCCTCCAGTCCCTTCTTTTCCCAACTTTCTAGAGGATGACTTGTTAATCTACAGTTAAGGTCTTAAAGTTTTCCTTTCCATCTCACCATCCAATAATGCAATCTGGGGCCTGTTCACATTACATCACCATTATGATTGTTATTATGTCACTTTAACTACCATTGTCCATCCAATGAAATCCTGGGATTGGCAATTTAGAAGGGGATAGTTAGAAGTTTTAGCCAGAGAGCTCCAGTGGTTAACCAAACTCTTAAGACCCAGGATTCCATAAGATGGAACCATGACAGTTAAAGTGGAATAATAGTGCTGTAATTGGGTATAGTGTGGATAAGCCCCCGATTTTTTTTTTGTGGTGGGGATGTTTGTAATTTTTGTAAACATTTCTAATATGGTCCTGTTAGGAGAACAGCATCCAATCCAAGAACTGACGGTTCTGGAATGGCACACAGTGAATTTAAGTTGCAAGGCATGATGAATTCCAACACAGAGTAAGGACTCCAGGGAATATTGTTCACCTCATGCCTATTGTCACCCCAATCACTCTTTCCCTTTTAGCAGTGCTCTCTGAAAACTGCTAATAGCTACACAAGGGAATTCTCAGTTTTAATTTAATATAATTAAAATGTTGCAAGCATGGATGTTTCCAAATAAAACCATGCATAATTAACAGATTTTGTTGACAAAATGATCCCCCCCCCTCAAGTCTTATCTAAAATTTAGAGTTATGAAATGCCATTTGAAGAAAGAGAATGCTTGTTGCAGAATTATCATATTCCTATAATTAATCACCCTTATTTATGATTCATCTTGTCATTGTTTGCCTTCAGGTTGTTTCCAGTTTATGGCAAACCTTAGGAGTTTTTCAGAGAAGGGCTGCCTTTGCCTTCCTCTGAGATTGAGGAAGTGTAGCATGCCCAGGGTCGCCCAATGAGTTTATATGGCCCAATGGGTATTTGAATCCTGGTATCAAGGGTCATAGTTGAATGCTCAAACCACTACACCATGCTGACCCTCATATCCATTATTTTAATGTGCTACATAGGTAAGTCACAACTGTCACTAATACTCAACTGAAATCGCATTAATGGACTAGCTCATAATAAAGTGCCTTGAATTAAAAGTTGAAAAACCAGGACATACGTATATAGCTCTAGTTCCTCTCTCTCATAATTATTGTAAATTCTAAAGAGCTGGAAAGGATCTTGGAGACTATCCAGCCCATTTCTTTGTTTGTTGCAGGCTCAGTAATGCAGAATTTGGCACATTATTCCTGACAGGTGATTATTGAGCTGAAATATCTCCATCAAAAAAGAACTCACTGCTATTCATGGCACTCTTCCTTGCTGCTGAACAGCTCTTTGAAAGGGAATTTTTACGAATGCTTAGCTGAAATCTGCTTCCTGTAATTTCCACCCATTACTTCATCCTTGTCTTCTGGAACAACAAAAAAACTACCTGCATGACACCTTTTCAGATACTTGACAAATGCTGCCATGTTGTTATTCATTCCCTCTCCAAGGAGCCCCTGGTGGCACAATGGGTTAAACCCTTGTGCCAGCAGGACTGCTGACAGAGAGGTCAGTGGTTCAAATCCAGGGAGAGCAGGTTGAGCTCCCTCTGTCAGCTCGAGCTTACCATGTGGGGACATGAGAGAAGCCTCCCATAAGGATGGTAAAAAAATCAGACATCCAGGCGTCCCCTGGGCAATGTCCTTGCAGACAGCCAATTCTCTCACACCAGAAACAACTTGCAGTTTCCCAAGTCGCTCCTGATATGAAAAAAAAAATCCTCTCCAGATTAAACATAGCAGTTCCTGATTTCCAGTTGGTGTCCAGAATTCTTACCAGTTTGAGCTTATTTGGATGTGCTCTAATTTCTTAAAGTACTTCTTAAAATGTGGCAACCAGGATTATGTCCATTACCAAATATACATTGACTGAAATGTAGTAGAACTGCTGCTTTGATTTTTTTGTTAATGCGGTTAACAATGCATTTACTTTTTAACAATACCCAGCTATTTGGCCTCAAGGAGGCAGAATAGCCCAGTTTTCACTGTCTCATCCATTGCACTTTGCAATGTTTTCAAACACAGTGTCAAGGGTCTGGGCATAAGTCATATCCCAATGAACGGTCTCTTTCACAGAAACAAATATTCAGTATGTTTATATACCTAGAACAGTGATGGGCAACCTTTTCAGCTTGGTGTGTCAAAATCCGCCAAAAAAAAAGAGCATAATTCAGGTGGGGTGCCACTTTGAGAAAAAGCCCCATAATTTTGCAATATTTATAGTTTAAATAACAAAAATGCATAATGGGAGGATAAATTCTTTAACTAAGCTACCTATTAGTGACTTTTTTGTTGCTGAATTTCATTGACTAAATGTTCAATTGAAGGTTTGTATTTTGTACACTTCAAGCCCAAGCAAGTGCTACTAACATCATCTGTCAATCTGTTTCTTTTGATGGTTTTGATATTATTTAACACTGAGAATAAGGTCTCACAAAAGTACGTGGAGGGAAAAATGGTGAGTAAAGCCATGTCAGACTACACAGAGAAGCCCTTGAAATCCACAAGCATGTGGACAATTTCGACAGAAAGGAGGAAACCATGAAAATGAACAAAATCTGGCTACCAGTATTTTAAAAACTCTAAAATTAGGACAGTAAAGAAATAGCAACACTCAGGAAACAGAGGAATTCCAGACAAGAATCAGTCAGACCCAGCTAACACCCCACAACAAAGGATTCCCCTGAGCAGGAAGGAGCCAGACTTTGAAGCTGCCAGGCCATTCAAGGCTAATCAAAATGGTCAATTGCAACATTCACATTTGCCTCCAACAGACAACAGTTCTTTCTCTCACCCTGGATGCTATTCCACAGATATATAAACCCTAAAAAACAGGGAAATTCCAGACAAGAAACAGTCAAGCCCAGCTAACACCTCCTAACAAAGGATTCCCCTGAGCAGGAATGAGCCAGACTTTGAATCTGCAAGGCCATTCAATGCTAGTCAAGCTGGCCAATGGCAACATTCGCACTTGCCTCCAACAAACAAGAGTTCTTTCTCCCACCCTGGACCTTCCACAGCCAGGCTTTGAAGCTGCAAAGCCATTCAACGCTAATCAAACTGGCCAATGGCAACATTCACAATTTCCTCCAACAGACAAGGGTTCTTTCTCCCACCCTGGACGTTATTTCACAGGCATATAAACCCCACTTGCCTAGTTTCCAACAAACTTCAGAGGATGCCTGCCATAAGATATGAGAGAAACGTCAGGAGAGAATGCTCCTGGAACAGAGAGGTTTAGCTGAGGAGAAAAAAAGACCCCAGCAACCAAGCGCGCGCCTGCCTCCCTCGGCCAAACGCGGCCACCAGATCAAAGGCGCCGCCGGGTGATTGGCAGCCGAGGGGCGGGGCTGAAGGATTCTTTCCCCCGAGATGCGCTCCTGCCTTAAAGAGACAGCACACTGTTTTTCTCTCTCCTTTCCCTCTCTTTCGCCCGCTCGGAGAAGCGAGCAAGCAAGCAGCCCACAGCCAGGGATTTGGCAAATGCGTAAGTTGCTTCAGCCGCCCCTGATGCAGCCCTATCCTTCTCTGTAGGCAGCCGCATGTGGCCGCGTGTCATAGAAAATGGCCAGGCGTGTCAGTGCTGACACGCGTGCCATAGGTTCGCCATCATGGACCTAGAAATTTGTGGGGGTACATGATTCCATTGTTTTCTTCACAATAAACCTATGAGGTAGGTTAGACTCAAAGAGTGGAGGAGCATATTAATTTATAATACAGAGGCGCTTATGGTGTTTTCTCTACACATAGAAAGTTTTTGATCTTAATATTTCCATAATTAAAACAATTAAGTTCAGCAACATTGAAACATGTGGATGGGTGCTTCACTCTGGGTTCAGGACTGTCTTGCTCTTTTTTTACTACCTTCACCAAACTTGCATGTTGCAAAACTAATAATCTAGCCATAATCTATTTTAGATGACACTGAGCTGATTTTTTTCAAAATGTTCCTTAGAAGTCTTCATAGTTTCCTAGAGATATTGCCATTTTTCATAAAATGTAGTGCCAGAGTCATCAGGCTGCACCTTGTTCATACCATGTTTTCACCTGCACATGTATATTATTATAAAACAGCACAGCTCTCTTTTCCTAAAATAAAGAGTGCTGATATTCTTATACTGGTCTTCATAGTTCCCAAAGAAAAGTATGTCTGCCATGTCATACTGTGAGCGTGGAGGCTCAACTAATTGGTGCGCCGGTTGTAACAAGTTTGTAGTATGCCCCTTCCTGGGCCATTAGTTCTTCATGTGTGCCCTTTTCAATGATGACTCCTTGTGACATCACAGCTATAATATCTGAATTCTGAATGGTGGACAACCGGTGGGCGATGACAATGCAGGTTCGGCCTTCTCGAGCCTTATCAAGAGCAGCTTGCACTGTCTAAAAGCAAAAGAGACAAAAATAAATCCACAGACAAGAAAAGCTGTGAGTTGCTATAGAGTGACATTTTTAAGGTAGTGACTTCTCAACTGCCTTTCAATATAACAACCATGATTAATAGACAGAACTGTTCTGTTGTCAAAGACATTAATCATACATTCAAAAGGGGAAGAGGACAATACCTGATGCATACACACTTGAGGCTCTATGAGTTGAGCTTAGGGTTGAATATTTTGTTGCCCAAGACAGAACAGCAAATGCTCCCTTCTCTAAGTCAAAATTGCACTGTACTTGAGGCCAACAAGTACCAAATATTTTGGCAGTTGTGGGAAAAATATCCTACATGTTTGGTAACTGACAGTAGTAGTAGTAGTAGTAGTAATTATTTATTTATACCCCACCACCATTTCCCCAAGGGGACTCGGGGCAGCTTATATGAGGCCAAGCCCAACAACAAATCAGTAAAAAACAAAACAGCAAGCAAATAAAACAGTACAATTAATATAACTAACATATAAACAATAACACAGAGAATTTAAAACACAACAGTAATAATTCCAATAATAACAAGGATGAAATATCTCTCTACAAATCCTTGAAGCCTTATCATGGTGCATATAGAAAAGAAGAGACATAGAGATAAGACTGCCAAGTCCAATGATGAACATAACATACAAATTGAATTTAAACAAAAAGGTTAACTCTGTGGCCTTGCTGCTGCAGAACTATTTCTGTAGGATTGCCTCAAGTCATACAATGAAAATATAGAATGGGAGACAATCACAGAGAAATGGCTTTGCTTCAGCAATCAAAGAGAAAGAAAATGCTTAAATTTGGCTTTTTTGGAGGGGGAAAATATTCAGATTTTTGCATTCCCTTATATGCTGAGATGCAGTCTTGTTCAAAGTTGGTTGTTTGCTCTATCACCCTATCAACCTCCCTTGTCATCTGAAAGTTTCCTCTGCTTAGTTGGAAAATAGAAGACATTAAGAGACCACCAGTTTTAAATGCATCAAAACATGTATCAACTTAGAGTGAGAAGTGATTTAGAGGAAACAGAATAGAAGTTGTGCATTCCAGCAAACCAAACGCTGATACCTCTGCACTGAACTTGCCATCTCTATTTGCAAAGACAGTCTCTGTCTTGCACCTGAAGAGTCAAGGACCAACCCATGTCCTTGTTTCTTTTCTGTCCTATCCCCTATATTTTCCCTACCATCTTGTCTTTGCACCATTTCTGGAACTTTTTTAGTGGTTCTGATAAAATATATTAACCAAGTCTACATTCTATTCCTATTTGTGGATCAGAAATCTACTTTGCTTTTGCTTTATATATATATAGGTTGATTCACATTTAAGAATGAACTCATAAGTATAAAATCAATGTTCTAATACTAACACGGTGTTCCTCGGATAGATTAACCAAAATGTAATTTTGGTACTCAGGTTTTGTTTTTTTTTACATGGATGAGAACTGACAAGAAAGATGTGTTTTGCAGTGATTCACATATGATGAGCTGATGCTGCTGAAATTCAAGGCAGAGCATGCAAATATGAACCAAGTGTGGGTAGCCTTTAGGAAATACATTATCCAACTTGCTCCCTGATTTTCAATCCACAAACAATTTACTTGCAGTCCTATTTACCTGTTCACTTTCAGTATCAAGGGCAGATGTTGCTTCATCCAATAATAAGATCTTGGGATCTCGAACAATGGCTCGCGCTATAGCAATCCGTTGCTTTTGCCCACGAGAGAGCAGTGCTCCCTGAGCTCCAACATTAGTTTCATATTTCTGGAAGACATAAAATGTCTGAATTTTAAGTGGCACTCTTTATCATCAGAACAGCGAAAAGCAAAGTAAAGATTCTGTCGCTTGTTGGGGAAATGAAGCATGAACCATTTTATTGCAGTTTTATTGGTAGTATGACCTACTTCTGGGCTTACGAAGTAGTCCTTTATTCCTTATTGGGGAAGGGAGATTGTCAATGGCTTAGGTTAATGGAGAAGAAACTTTGGATAATTGGAACAGGAAACTTTTATTAGTCCTAGGATGTGAACCCTGGATATTTATAGTTGAATGCTAAAATTATACCCATTAAGGCTAAAATCCTAAAAAGCACCTACTTCTGAGAAAACATGTATAAAGCTGACCTGGAAGTAATAGTCTACTGGGTGCTTTTCAAATATGAATGGATTTAAACAGACTGAACTTTGGGGATCATAAATAACCTCACCACCCAATATCATCTAGTTCAGTGCCTCTCAACCATTGGTACTCATATCACCTATCATATTATTTGAAAAACAACAACCAGTTTAACTTCCTGATTATCAGGGTTTGCAGCCTTTCTTCCAATGCATGGTCAGAGGCAATCTAAGATTCAAGCTGTAGTCTGTCCAAGGAAAAGGGGAAGCCAAAGCAAATTCCAATGTCTGTTCCAGAAGATCAAATACACAGAGTCTCATCAAAAAGTCCAAGTCTGTAATCCCAAGAGCATAGTTCAAGGTTCATGGCACGAGGATCACCAATAAGATTACCAGCTGTAGCAGCAATACAAGAATTGCTTCCAGCAAAGAGCTGTTACAGACACCAGCCCTTTATGCTGCTTGTGAAAAGTCCTTACAGCCACGAGATCCTCTTTTGAGCCAGCCAATTGGACCTTCACAGCTGGATGGCATCAACCATATGCTGAAGCTGGGCAGGGAGAGTTAACTCCTATTCTTTCTCCTGAAGAGCCTCATCCTGCCCAGACTCAGATGCTTCCATTCCTGAAGGGTCCTGCTCCTGCTCAGCAGTAGCAATCTCTACAATGTCAGGCTGCTCATCCAACTTGGGCTCAGATTCTGCTGCTGGGAAACAAAATGCCTCCTCCCCATCATTCTCATCTTAACCCAAGTTCCTTACACCGATGAAAATAAGTGACTAGACCTGCACAATTCAATCTGGAATCATGTGGAAGCCAGGAGAAAATCCATGTGCCTGACAGCAGAGACGTAGCCAAGAGCACTTGGGCCAAGACTGGTCTCTGAAAGGCACTTTGTGGCCCTCTAATTGTCAAGTGAGAAGTAAAAAGGAAATAATGGAGGGACCAGAGGCTATCGCAGAATCTTCCAACAGACTGCAATTGGGGAACGAGTAGATCTCCCAATGTTGTCACAATCAAGTTCCCATCAATTGGCATAGCTCATAGATAGGTGGGATTTAAGGCTTTGGCCCACTGACCCTGGAGTTATTTCTCTAAATAATCCACAAAATTGCTTTTTATTGTGTACTTTCTTGTCCCATATTCCCCAAGAGCAGGTCTGGTTAGGTTACACAAAACCAATTACCATTTCATACTCACAATTGTCCTTTTAATCTCAAAGGTGGTGACTAGCATAAAGTTACTCAATGAACAGAGAATTGAATTTGAGTCCGCACATTCTCGGTTCAACATTCTAAATGTCACAAAACACTCTCTAACAACCAGCTGATGGTCAAGTTGCTAAAGGACAAACAAATCTATAACATATTTCAACATATAGTTGGCTGTTCTTAGGTTTATAGCCCTGTGTGCCTTTTCTGAACATTGCTATGATTAAGAAAAAGTTGCTTACATCAGGAAGTGACATGACAAAGTCATGTAGCTGGGCTTTCTTGGCTGCTGCTATCACTTTATCCATAGAAATATCTCTGGTATTATCACCATATCGAATATTTTCAGCAATACTACAGTCAAACAGCACAGGTTCTTGAGACACTATTCCAATTTTGGATCTCAGAAAGCAGATGTTGACTTTCCTGGTGTCATGCCCATCTATCAGCTGTATATCAAAAACACAAAACATATAAATCATATTTATTTCAGGATGGGGGAGTCTCAATTTTAGAATTTAAACAAAGTGCATGTTGTACTGATGGGCTTGAAGTAATTGTGATGAAAATAACCTTTGCTGAACACAACCTCATGTAATTATAGTTCAAGTACAAAGTTTCACTGAGCTCACATGAGTAGCATATATCGAATAATTATTGCCTGCTCTTCACTACAGAAGTATTGCTGTGTGAACTACGGCTGTTCAAAATTGTCTGTTTCTCATACACTTTTCTCTGGTTTCTTTCAGATAGCTAGTCAGTATTCCATTGCCATTTAATCATGTCTAGTATTCACTGGGTAGTATATGTCTCCTAGCTTGCTCCCTCTAAATGTTTTTTTTCTTTTTCTGTTAACTCAGATTTGCTGATATTTTTCTTCCCGTTTGTTGGGAGTGCCATAGTCCAAACATTGGACTCATAATCTGAAACTTAGAAACAAAAGGACTATTGATACATTCAACTAGACAATTTGTTTTGTAGATTCTATGAAACCAACTTGTATCCGCAGTTTTATACTTATTTCAAGTATAAAATAAGATTATTATATGGAATTTCTGAAATTGTTCATTTGAATTTATTCAGGATATGTCTCCAGTGGAGTTCAATGGAACCATGCTTAACCCTTTAAAAAGTGTGTTTGTGGTAGTAATTTGCAACAATGATTTCCTATGGATTGCATTTAAAATATATGAATTCATGGGTCCTGTTCAAGTGTTGCTTACCTCACCTTTTTTAACACAGGAGCAACTCCATAGTTACTGTCTTCACATAGAAAGAAAGGCAACTGAAGAGCAAAAGTTCATATGTGTGTGGAGGTAATCCACACAAACAAGAAAATCAAGGACTATGCTCACATGGAAACCTTCCAAATGAATAGCAAAATCTCCTCTCATGTGTATTGTCATGTGAAGAAAGTGGTGATAGAAGGGGATGGGGCTATGCATTACCCCTGCTCCTCTGCTAAAGAAGCCAGGTTAACAACTAAGCAGGAGAAGAGTTTCCATGACCAAAAAAAAAACTTCCCTTGTCCACACTACCATTAATAGCAATCAATGTCTGTATGTGTGTGTGTGTGTGAGAGAGAGAGACAGACAGACAGACAGAGGATTGCAACAGGATAGGGGAGGGTTAATCATCCCCTGTATATATGCTATGATTCCGATTCAATTCACACACCATTTACTATTACCTTTTCAGTAGCTGCACACAAATTTGAGTTTATAATTAGGTGATGGATCTGGAAAAATGGTGAAGAGCTAGGGCATGATCAAAGTATGAGGAATTCTGCCCCTGAGGGAGGAAGTAGAGGGAGAAATTTCCTCTTCTCATAACACTGAGGAACCCAATGAAGTTTTTCAGAAAGAGATTCAAAAGATACAAAGGGAAATAATTCTTCAGTGCAGCATACAGTTAAACCTAGGGAAGTTGCTTCACATGGCGAAGAGCTTGGATAATGGCCAAATTGAAGAAGGATGGGGCTATCAATTGTTATTGGATATGACAGGTAAAAACAAGGGTAAGTCAAAATTATCTGCACTCTGGTTATATTAAAACTCCTGCTGGCCTCACTATCCTATCAGCATTTTTCATACAAAGTTGCTGTCTCCCCAGTCACTGCTGTAGAGTTTTGAAAGTATTGTGTCTATTTATTTGCAACTGCGGTGAAAGAAAAATGGTGGCCCCCTTGTGATCTCCACTATAGAAGAACAGCGTGTAGTGATCCGTTCAGCAATCAACAGTGCTCATTACAGTGAGATTCTCACTGAAGTCTAAAATTCAGACTAAACACAGAGGACTGATATAAAAAGGTGTTATGTTATTGCCTGACATACTGTTTCATGCCTATACTGTTGACACTCTCCAAAAACCTTGTTTTGAAGTGTTAAAGCATCCTCACTATAGTCCTGATCTTGCCCCATCAGAGTGTCACTTGTTTGGATCCCTGAAAGAAGCCCTATGAGGACGAAGATTCATGTTTCATGGAGAGGCAAAGATATTGGTGCATTTGTGGCACGCAACTCAACCTAAAACATTTTTAAATAAGGGAATATGAAAGCTTGTTGACAAATGGACAAAGCAGAGAGAATCTGTAAAATTGTGTACTTGTCTTTTCTGAAAGTTGATTAAAATAAATTCTACAGAGTGAAGAACATTTTTTTTTTACTCTGCCTCAGTTCAGAGGCACAATGGCTCGCAATTCTGGTTTCTAGAGGCAAAGAATAGGAGATGACTTTCTCTCCAAATTCTGATGGTAATTGTGACGAATAATCACCTGAATTAGACAGACATTTGGTCTGATTCAGCATGACATTTTAATGTTCTTCTGATTATTTGCTATGGGATATGTACACGCAGAGGCGGCCCTAGGTAATTTTCAATGGTAATAAACAGTATTTTGGCACCCCCCCCCCAACCAATCATTGATATATATTTTCTGTTCGTCATGGGAGTTCTGCGTGCCATATTTGGTTCAATTCCATCACTGGTGGAGTTCAGAATGCTCTTTGATTTTAGGTGAACTATACATCCCAGTAACTACAACTCGCAAGGTCTGTTTTCTCCCAAGAGCACCTCAAGAGCACCCCTGGGCAAAATCAACTATACTGCGAATGCTTACTTTGCGTAATGGGTTGAGCCGTCCCTGTGTACTTGGACCAGATTTAGGCCACCGTGTCTATGTGCCAATAGGCTAGATGTCAGACTTTTCACTTGAGGAGATGCTCTTTTATGTGTGACTCAAGAGTTCAAACAAGGGTCCCTTGTACAAAGTTTGATGCTTTAGCTTCCAAATTAACCTTCCTAGATAAAGATGCTTATTGGGAATGTTAAACAATAGAAAGCTACAGAGCCTGTATTTTGTTTTGTTAACCATTTAAAGGTAGACACACGTCTTTCAGACATATGAAGCAGCCTATTATTTTACAGTTAGACATATTGTACAATTTTTTTGTAAAATCAACAAAGAATGGAAGATTCACTGTATTCATCAGTATCATTTTGCTATAAAAACAAGGAGAGCTGCTTACCACGTTTCCTTCATCAGGATCGTAAAATCGTTCCAGAAGTTGGACACATGTACTTTTGCCGCATCCGCTGCTTCCCACAAAAGCAAGGGTCTGTCCAGATTTTACTGACACTGAAAGACTCTTTAGCACTTTGACATCAGGACGAGTGGGATATGTGAATGTACATTTCAGAAATTCAATACTTCCCCGGAAATTATCCTGGAAAGACAATGAATGGTGTTTGGTCTTATTGGCCTCACAAATGAGTCTTATGCAGCTAAGACCAAAATCCATGAATGCTCAAGTCCTGTTATATACAATGACATACTATATAAGAGTCCCTTATATAAAATGGCAAAATTAAAGTTTACATTTTGGAATCATTAAATATATATTTGCACTGTGATGTTTAAATCTGTGGATAGAGTCTGTGAATACAAAAGGCCAACTGTACTTGGAAATGTGTTTTTAAAAGAGTTGGGAAACATCTTTTTTTGAATGCAGAGCTTGTAAAAGTGAATTTCTAACTGAAGACATATTTTATGTTAGACTTGATGCTGGTGTATTATATGAAAGATATGAGCTGTGGAATGCGGAGGTTGCTTAATGTATCACACCAGAAGACATTACCAGAGCTCCAGTAACCATGGTATGACCAAAAGGCCATTTCTACATATCTGAACTGGTCTCAGATTGACCATAATAGCAGCCACATGCACCAGGATCAAACTTCTGTGATATCACATGAGTGTCCAGATGGTCCAGCTGGCTGAGACAGCATTAGTCCCAGGGTCTATTCCCTTTGGAGAGCTTGGCCATGGTGGTCACATCTGCTAAGTAATCCCTTCTTTCCTGTTGATTTTGTGGGTGCCCCGCCATGTTGATACAACTGTCCAGGCTCTTGCAATGCTCTATGGCAGTGGTTCCCAACCAGATGTTTTTGGCCTACAACTCCCAGAAATTCCAGCCAGTTTACCAGTTGTTAGGATTTCTGCGAGTTGAAGGCCATAAACATCTGGGGACCCCAGGTTGAGAACCACTGCTCTATGGCCAGTGAGGAACATGAAAATGAGCCATTCCTTTTACTGTTCTGATCAGTGCAGAGGAAGCGTAATGTTGATGCTCGATATATGGACAATGGAGTGGGGAGAATAGAACTTCAACCAGCTATCCAGACAAGGAGAAGTATCCCCTACTTCTGGTTAGTGTTAAGGCTTTAAAAACTCTTAAAACTCTGGATCCTTATCAGAAGTGATTAAGTCATGCATTATAAAGTCATGCATTATGAAGACTGTTCAGTCCTGATATCTCAGTTAAAGTCCTAATATTCCAGGGTCTTGAATGCTCCTAACTTGGCAACCCCTAGTTAGAAAAAAGGATTTTGCCAAAATGCTAGATGAAGGATTCTCAATGCATCTGGAAAAAACTAAAATGCAACACAGTATATCCTGAAATAGTATGTGGTGCAGGTGGAGGTGAGCTGAACCATCAGTTGTTTAAGTCTACAGTAAAATGTTGAAGTGCAGTATTGTAGAATTGTGCAAGTGAAACATAACAGACGAAACAAGAGGATATCTATTGCAGAAGAGTAATGTGCAATGATGACCAGATGGCTTTCACCACTTGAGGGAGCACTCCTTCCAGATAATGGTTCAGCATTTCTTTTGGCCTCAATACTCAAGGATTCTGAGATTTGTAGGCCAGCAACCTCTTGGGACCCAAGTCTGTTGTAACCTGTTGGTCTTTCAAATGCCACAAGACTCATTGTTAGTTTTGATGTGACAAAGCAAATCGTCCCCCACTTTAGATATTAGTCTTAGGAGCCCATTTCCTTAATTTTTTAGTGGATATAGGAATGCCAGCATATTTTCTGAGTAGCTTTAAATAATAAGAATAAGATTTTATTTTCTCAATCTAAGCTGCCCAGAAAGGCTAATAACACACTTTGGTAGCAGATGAAAATCAAAAGAAAGGTATCAAAGGCAGTGTCCAGTTGCTGTCCTTAAAAAGTCCCATGACGGGGTTTGTCCTATCCATGATTTATCTTACCAGAAAGGAGATTAAATGTCCAATGGAGCTTGCTTTCTAAGTAAATATATTACACGGCTAAGTATGTCATTTAACGAGTCAGCTTTTCCCTTTCCTTTAAATAATACGCAACATTCAGTAAGGAAAGAAAATGATATGGGATTTCTAAAATATTTCTATTTTAAGTACTCTCTGACTTCCTCATATTTGCATCATTACAAAAAGAAGTAAAACATTACTATTTGCTTTCATTACTCATAAAGGTGTAAATGACCTTTGTATCATTTATCACTATAGTTTCCGGGTTGTAGCACACTGCTGCTAGTCACAAGGCAAAATCAACATTTATTGTTGAGATGACAGAGCTATCAAACAATAAAAAGTTCACCAATTGATTCATTTACATCCAATACTATATATAGTATATCATGCTTAAAAGGCATTGATATTTGCTTAGCGTTACTCATAAAGGTGTACATGAGATTTGTATCATTTATCACTATAGTTTTCGAGGTGCAGCACACTGCTGTTAGTTACAAGGAAAAATCAACATCCATGACCTGGAGTCTGAAAAATCAGGATTCCAGATAGCTTCCCAGATAGCTAAAGCTCTCAATTTCCACTTGCAGGAAGGTGGCAAATCTGGTTATGTATGTGTGGTTGGCATACTCCACTCATTAGTTCATCATGCTTTCTGATTAACTGGATCAGGGTTTTACACTGTTGATAGTTGCAATTATCAGGTAGAAAAAAATGTTGATAACAATTCCAGCACCCACCCAGCTAGAGACAAGATATTGCAGAATGTTTCAAAATGATGGACTCAATTTCAAAGGAGAATATTTCACTATGGCTATGTTACAATTATGCAAAAAGTTAGTTTACTAAGTTATCAATTTATCAAGTTTTGTGAACCATTTTGAGGCAGAAACAAATCTAAAAAATAACTGCAAATGGAGAATATCTCATTAGACCTTATGTTATGGGATTGCAATTTTGTGAATGTCTGGCACTAGGGGCTGTTTGTGTGTTGGGAGAGGCATCTAGCTGTCATCATTTGGAACTCTATGGCCCATCCTTTCATGTGGTAAGAGCTTCATTTATGAGCAGTTCATAATTGCAAATATATAGCGATCTCAAATTGGCTCAATGTATTGTCGAAGGCTTTCATGGCTGGAATCACTGGGTTGTTGTACATTTTTTTGGGCTATATGGCCATGAATGCCTCTAGACCATGGCCATATAGCCCGAAAAAACCTACAACAACCCAAATTGGCTCAATCTTTTTGAAACACCTTGTAGGTAAGTTTAAATGTACACTTGTGAGAAGTGACAGACTTTGCATTTCTAGGTGCAAAGATTACTGCAGATGCAGATTGCAGCCAGGAAATCAGAAGACGCTTACTTCTTGGGAGGGAGCAATAACCAATCTCGATATCTTGAGTTTCCTTCTAAAGGATAGGAGGGAGGTGGCCAATCTGATGTCCCTGGGGAGGGAATTCCACAGGCGGGGGGCCACTGCTGAGGAGGCCCTGTCCCTCATCCCCACCACAAGTCCACAAGGACTCCAAGATCTTTTTCACACGTACTGCTCTTGAGCCAGTCATCCCCCATTCTGTATCTTTGCATTTCATTTTTTTTCTGCCTAAGTGGAATATCTTGCATTTGCTAAGGTGGTGGAATTGAGAACAGGGCCTCTCCAGATGATCTTAAACTTTGTGATGGTTTGCAACAGGAGATACGTTCGGACAGGTAGCCTGGGCCAGAACCATTTAGGGCTTTAAAGGTTAAAACCAGCACTTTGTTGCCAGTGTGATGTCTCTACTCTTCACTATTTTATCGGGATTGATAATACTAATCTTTGTTCTTACCCATTTCTCTCCAATGTCACTGTAAACACTTATTTGGGGAATCCGATCCACCAGCTGAAAAAACCGTGCTGCAGCTATTTTTGCTTTGGCATAATTTGGTGTATAGGAAGATGCTCTTCCTAAAGCAGTTCCACTGGTGACAATGGAGGAGATCACTCTGAAAAAAAATGGGAAAAGTCCTTAGTTGATGAGATGCTTAAGAAAAGCCATGTAGAACAGACCACGACCCTTGTACCAGCAGAAGCCAGCCAGTAGTGCAAAGGAAGACCACAGCAAGGTATTAAGCCAAAGGTTCTCCATCTCCAACTAACTGGAATTCAAAAGAACATTGCCTCTTAATATGGTGGTTGCATAGACTCTATGCTTAGGGTTCTCTTTAAGCAATTCTGGGGAGTACATTGCTTGCAGACATGTGGACATCCCTGCCCATTTTCAAGCCACCTCTGCTTCTGAAGTTGCCACCACAAAACTGTCCTAAAGGGTGATTAATGTTTAATACACGCACCTTCATATACTCTTGGGACTGCAACTCTATCAACCCTAGGCAATATAGCCAATACTGGGGGATGCTGAGAGCCAAAGTCAAGTAACAGTCCAGAACATGTGATTCCCACCCTGCTTTAAAACAAGGTAGGTGAAAGACACATGCCTTGTTTTCAAACTAAAGTACTTTCAGATTCAAAATAAGAGGTATACTCTTCATGCACCTTGTTTTAAAGATAAATTGTGAAGGAAGGAGTTGTTCATGCCGCTGCTACAGAAAATTTAGGGAAATGGCAGAAGGCCTTAATCAAACTCCCAAAACCTGTCCACCTGTGGCTCATAAGAAAACTATTGTTTTCCTGTGATTCTATGTCTTCTTACCTATGCTGCACATCTGTATTTCTTTCTGTATCTTCTTACCTGAATACAAAGCTGTAGTGAAGTCCTTCCTGGTCAACCAAATACCCCCCATATCGATATGAGACAGAGTTGGCTATAAACAAGACACACTGTGCAAAGCCAAAGCAAACTCCATAAACATTTGCTTTTTTGATGGCTGCTCGGTATGGGATTTCCAGCTTTCTCTCATAGGCTTCAATAAAGGTCTTTTCCTTCCCAATTCCAGCTACAGTCCTGATATTTGTGAGGGCTTCATTGGAAATCTGTTCAAAAAGCAAAAGGTGGAGGGTAGTGTGAGTAAGGGAAGATAATATATTAGATTTCCAAAAGGTATGGGCCATCCATCCATCTGGATAGCTTTAGGCCAATGATTCTAGCCTTTCTGGGCAACCAAAGGAGTAATCACCCATTATCTGATGTCCCCTCACACCAAGTAAGAACTGTTATTGCTCTAAGGATGGCTTACATGATAGACTTCCCATATTTGCATACCTAACATTTATGGACTTGATGAATCATGGAATTGGTTAACATGTCCTCTCTAGTAATCTCTAGGTTCCCCAATATAATTTTATTGCTGACTTCCAGCAGGAACTGACCACAGAATCATGCCAGAGTACCTAGGAATGCCCTAGAAAAATATTCCCCCACTTTGATGGGCTCCTGTGCCCTCAACCCCAGTAAATGTACTGGGCAGGACTGCTATAATAATTCCTAGTATGGGTTCTCCTGTCTGAGTAAATATCATAATGAACAGCCACACTTTGTCACCAGAGAGTAACAAACAACTGCCTGTGTATGCCCAAACACGCTGTCTCCTTAATCTTCATTACGTTCTCCAATTGTTGGTATTAACCATGATAACCATGAGCACATTCTTTCCCTTCTCCCCCCTTTTTTCTATGCCGTTAGAATGTTGTTCCTACGTCAGTTATGCTGAGTAGGGTAGATAATATCTTGTCACTCTGAATACTGCAGAAAGAATAGCATTTTCAGTTGCATCTTAGAAGCAACTGAAAAAGTGAAACTACAGGGACATTGGGAAAGTTAGAGGGTAAAATGGGCTTGGATCTATAATGTAAAAGTGTATAAAATCAAGGAACTGTAAAAAATAAATAAAACCCTGACTAGATCCTACACACAGGGAAGAGAGTTCAAGGGACATGTGACATTCAAGAATCAATATATATGCATTGATAATGCCTAGGTGAACTACAAATTAAGCACAGCAAACATAAGGAATTTAAATAAGGGGAATAAAAGAATCAAAAGGCAAAAACTTTCAACACAGAGAGTTTTTGAAGGGCAGCAGGGAGCAATGAAAAGAAGAGGCCCATGATCCAAGTTTGGAACATGGCCTGTGAAATATGCTTTGGCCCTGGGTGAGTTTCAGCATGCAGTAGTGGTTTCGGTGTTGGACTATGATTCTTGAGACAAAGGTTTGAGCCCTTATTCAACCATGGGCTTGGCCTCATGTTAGCCGCCCCGAGTCCCCTTCAGGGAGATGGCAGCGGGTTATAAATAAAGTTTATTATTATTATTTATTATATTGAGGAAGCCATGCTTTCTCAACCTTAAAGGATGCCAACATATTCTCCTCTGAACATATTTTGCCAAGAAAAATGTGATCGTTCACCTTCGAGTCACCTTGAAGGGACGCAACAACAATTGCTAATGTGGTTGCTATTCAAAGTACTGTCCTCTGCTTAATGTCTTACATGTCTTACACTTGTTCCTCAGTTCTCTTTGCTCCTGCTAAGTTGAACACTTGGTCACCTTGCTTTCCAATTCTTAAACTATATGATGCATTAAGTAAATTAGGATTGCTCTGCTTTTTTGCTTTCACAAGGAAATACACGAGTATATAAGGCCAGTATGGGTAAGGGCCATCCCACACAAGTAAGGGATATTTAAAACTTTCCCCTCAGTTTTTTAATCCCACAAACATTGCTCCTCTAAAAAGGAAAGAGAAAAGATAGAGGAGCATTCATTATCAATGGAGGCTTTCTCTTGCTCTCTTTTTAAAGCCTCCACAATAAAGTTGCTAGAGTGAAAAATACAGATGGCTCGTGTACCTTTAATTGTTGTGTAGAAGAAAGAGGGAATTGCAGCAGGTATTGCTTGTTACCTGGTTGCATGTCATCTGTTAAAAAGCAACATTGCTAAAATCCTTCTAATGTACAACTGACAGGAATCCCCTCCAATTTTCAACCATACAAATGAGGTTCTGGTAATAGTGGATTTAGAGGGGGAAATCCAGGAGGGTATATATATCAACCTGTGTGACCTCTGTCAGGTCTGAAATGTCTGTTAATTCTGTCTGCTTAAACTATTACTCAATGTCTCCTTGAAGCTTAAATTAGGCTTTAAAAACAGAAAGAAAGAAGAAAGGTTTGTTACCCTCCCAGAAGCATCCATTGCTTCCTTGTCCTGAGATGCAAACCCTGTCAACATCCGAGATTGCACCATTCCAGATAAAGCCAAAAATGGCAAAAAGCAAGTTATGACTAAGCTGAGCTTCCAGCTGAAGTAGAAAGCAATAATAATGGCCACTCCAATGTTGGTGAGGGAGTTCACAATCATTCCTATTTGGGTTCCAGTTGCCTTCAAGGGAAGCAAAACAACAAGAGATCAGCAAGCAGGTTCACCCACGTGAAATACTACTGGGGGGCTCTTTCCTCAGAACTGTAGGAGCATGAAACCTATTGTACGGGAGGAGTCACAGTTTCCATCTTAGCTCCTTGCCAGCTTTCTCTGGCTCTAGAAGATGGAACAAAGATATTTGTACCTCTGCAATACTGTACCCCTGCAAAAATATTTTGTACCTTTGCAAGGTTTGATATCTTTCTGTAAAAACTGGGCCATTGGTGACATAGATGAGAGGGGCTGATATTTCTGAACCATTCTTTTTGGTCCATTTCCCCTGACTTCTACAAATTGGGGTAATCACCCCAGATATGGTGGCCATGTAGCCCGCTTTACCAAATACTGTCTTCCATTTAAATGTGTTTTCTATTTGTAGACTCTCCAGTCCATGTCCATTTTGAAGAAGAAGAACCATAGTACAAATGTAAGCTGGGACTCTTGAAATTGGCCATCAACTGTTAGCTCCTAGGCAGCTGACTAAACAAGAAGGGACACTTGTTACCATCTTCTGGTTTATATTTCTGTTCAAATGATAGTGGTGATTTATAATTTACAGTTATGCATGTAAAGGAAAGGGCCCCTGTATTTTAATGTCATATAGAAAAGGAAATTTCAGCAGATGCTGCTTGTTATCTGTAATTTCAGATGACAAGATAGGTCTGCAATGAAAGAAAGGACCAACATAATGGACACAGATGGACAACAGAGAAAGTAAACATCAGGGAAAAGAGTTTTGCTTCTGTTGTCTCCTTAATATGCTTGGTTTTTACATGTAGAGAGTTTAGAATTATTTTCCCTGGAATATTGCAACTTCCTATCTGTTGGAAAGGTTGTCTTCCCTAAAAGATAAATGCCTTCTTTGTGGCTACACTCAGATTATGGAAATTCTTGTTCTGTGAAATGTCATTTACCCCTTTTTGCTATTTTTCATTGGTTACTGAAGAACATTTAATTCCAGCAGAAGTTGGCTATATATGACAAGACACATGGCAGGCAGTGTTTTAACTGTTAACTTTTTCTTCTTGGGAGATTGTTTTACAAGAAATTGTGGTTTTTAAAGTATATCATGTGATGCACTTCCACTAGAAGAACAGAATATACTTTAAAAATATATACAATAACATATTTTAAAACAGATAATCTCAACCAACCATCTACAGATGTCAACAGTACAAACCAACCACAGGTTTCGCAACATAGGGGAAATTGGTTCTTAGACTCTTGGGCTGATTATACATTTGATGTTTATTCAACCCCAGTGTCAGTTTTTAAAGAAAAAAAAAGCTTGGAAGGAAAAAAAAAACAGAAACGAGAAGAGAAGAGAAGAAAGTACTTTATCCTTTCTTTCAAACTATTTCTTTTCTTCTGAAATTACACACCTTAGGTGTTTAGTCTTTTTCAGAGTTTGTGCTTCAAAGAATCTGATAATTCCTGATGCATGAAATCACCATTATATACACTCCCTTACCCCTTGAACCTGAGATGCATCGGTAGCAAGTCTTATAGTCAAGCCCCCTGGGCTGTTCCTATGGTCATCAAACCAACCAATTTCTTGGCCTAGCATGGCCTCAAAGCCGACCTTCCTTAACCGCCTCGTAAGCAGCTCACCGGATTTTGCAAATGTATATCCCTGGAAAAAAAACCCCCCCACATAAAATAAGTATTAATGGAATCATGTGGATCAATAAAGCAAGATGTACAAAATGTGGGAGAGAAAGCCTTGGTGCCCGTACCTGCAAGAACTGTGTTACAAATGATATGATTCCAACAACAACAAAGAGCAAGCAGATGCTGTTGATTTGTGACCTTTGTACTTCTTCATCAAGGACAGAGAATGTCTTTGGAGAAAGAAAAGAAAATGCCTTAATATTAGAGAACGTTGTAACACAAGGCAAACAGAAGTTTATTGTGAGCCTCTTGTCTGGTATTTGTGTAACATGATTGTAATTATATGTAAGCGCAACCACCGGCATAGTCTAGAATCCTATGATGGTTTTGCAGCTGGCCTGCACATTGTTAATAGAATCTTTCAAGATGTTCTTTTCCCATGTGTTTTACTGATAAATGGAAGAACAGAGATGAACATGCTAAACCTCTTTGCAACACATTTTGGCCTTTACATGTTGAAGGCCAAAATCCAGGATTTTGAGAGTTGCTAAACACAGTCAAGCAGGGATCCAATTGCATAAGTGATTATAAGCTCAGTCAACTGAATACACAAAACCTATCTTCAGGTCTTTGGTCTCTTCGATACAAAATGACTGTGGGAAAGAGTATGCAAATTGGGAGGGAACTAACATATAAGACCTATTTCCCCCTCTATGCATCTTTTGAACTCATGGGGAAAAGGGGGCTCAACTTAGACCCCACAGATATCTCAGTGCGGTTCTGCCACAAGTTTGTATCTGTGCTGATTTATTGATCTTAGTGGCACTGGTATTGAACTTCACTGTTGTCATCCAGTATTTTTCATGAGTATTTTCTCCTTAACTAATTGTTTAAAAAGAAAGAAATGTGAGGCATGAAGCCTTTCAAGATGGGAAACCAGGCTCTCTGACCTGAAATTATAAGCCCAACCCAAATTCCTTACCCAGATCAAGGTGTGTAACAACAAAAACCATGAGAACATAAGGGAAAAAAACCCAATGAAATGAAAAATCAACATGCAAAACAAAATTCTTTTACTATTAAGAATCTGTACTATTTAAATCAAGGATACGCCTCTTTATAAGTGTCAAGGGTCAATATCCCTCCAGGCCTGCTTGGCTCTGTTGTCTTGATTAGATATCTTTAAATGTTCATCTTAAACATAGTGTCCTTTAGTCTTGAACAGTGGTTCTCAACCTGCAGGTTTTGGGCTTCAACTCCAATAAATCCTAACAGCTGGTAAACTGGCTGGGTTTTCTGGGAGTTGAAGGCCAAAACACCTGGGGACCCACAGGCTGAGAACCACTAGTCTTGACTAACGGAAATCAGAGAGCAAGTTTTTGCCTTTGACCATAGACAGGCTTTCTGGTATTTGAAGAAAGCCATTTTGTCCCTGCATAGGCTTCTATTTTAGGCTATATACTGTACTCATTTTTTCTCTTGTTTCTTTTGAGCTCATATTTCATATTTCTGATACCACTGGCTAGCAATTTGTCTATATGTTCCTTAAAATGTGACACTCAAAACCAGATACACTCCTTTTTATATCCATAATTAAGAAGAAGAGTATTTATTGTCACTGAAGACACTGATGATACTAAACTACACTAAAATCGGGAAAAGATCAGCAATCAAGGTGTTATTAATAACTTAGTTTAGAATAATCATTTATGCAGCTTTGAAGCAGAGCAAGGAAGCAATTATTAGAGAAAAGAAATAGCAAGTAATGAGACTTTGAACAGTCAGCTTTGGAAAGGCCCACTAAGTCACTAATGAGTTTTCTCTCTGATAAACATTTGTTTGACATTTTCTCTTAACCCTTAGAAAGTCAAATGCAATTATTTCCTCATTAGGAAATGTGAAATTAAATATGCATATCGGAGACATATCCAAAAGCAAAGCAGGAATATTTCATCCTTTCTAAAACATGCATAATGTCCCACTACCTTTGACACTCCTCAAAGGGAGAACTTGGCTCTGATCTACCACAGCATCAAACATGTTTTCCAGTAAAATAAGGCAGCATGAAGAAAGTGGCCAATTAATCACAGGGGCAAAGGCAGTTGCGCCACTCCACTGACCTAAAAGCATTTGCATTCAGTACTGACAAAATTATATTGATTTTCCTTATTATTGGATTCTCAGAAATACAAGTTGTGAGACTAATATTTTTAAAATTAGCTAGCTCCAGAAAATCAAATAAATAGATTAGCATTCATAATCCCAAATCACTTGCTAAAAGGTTAGCACTTGGTTCGAGTCAGTCTTTTGTCATTAGGCTATTTACTGGGATAGGCAAGAAGAAAGAAAGATAAAATCAGTAACAAAAAGGAATATTTTCTGGCCCGCAAAGAGGAGGAGGAGAAAAAAAGAAGAAGAAAGGAACAGAAGTCTGAGGATGATTGTAAATGTTGGAAACAGTGGCTACGTAATATCCGATTTACTGATGAGTAATAACAAGAGCAAATAACTTGGTGAGTTTAAGAAGGAGTCATGTGGATAAGCTCTAACCAGTTCCACTATCCTACTTACCTGAGAAATATCTGTTTCTTGTCTGTCTGTCGTTGTGGTTTCAACTTACACAGATTTGATTATTCAACCTATTTGATTAAAATATCCTTTCATGTAATCTCTAGGTCCTCAGCTGTGACTCTGTGGTCAACTTCCTTTGGTCACACCGGAGGACCTAGAGATTCCCAGAAAGAATAACACCTTAAGAATATCTTGGTTCTTCAGTGTGATTCTGTGTTCATCTTCCAGTGGATATTGATCACAAAGTCATGCTGAATTACCTATAGCAGTGGTTCTCAAACTGTTGGTCTCCAGGAGTTTTGGCCTACAACTCCCAGAAATTTCAGCCACTTTACCAGCTATTAGGATTTCTGGGAGTTGAAGGCTGAAACATCTGGGGAACCACATTTTGAGAACAACTGAGCTAGAGAGAAGTTCTCTCAGGTTAAAAAAAAGGAATTTTATTATTTGCAATTTTTCACTTTCATGGGGGTTTTGTGCCCGTAATCCCAGCATTTGTTAAGGGCTGACCTTAAGGGCTGTATATGTATTTACTAAATTATGATTAATAGGGAAGGAACACTGATTGACCAGGGTTCTGTCTCATCTGCACATGCAATGATCTTCCAGAGATGGGTACAAAACCTGGTCAAAGAGGGACCCTTCTCATGTGTGGAAGCCCTGAACCACTGTATGGCAAAAACAGGGGTAGCTATAAAAGTATTACAGCAGTGCAGCAGTAGCAGTGGAGGAGTTTGCCAGCAAATTTCCAACCCTGTTCTTGTCTTCCATTTTCACTCAATACATACTGAAGTGCAAGCCAATTCATACAGTTGCTCAAGCAGATTTTTTTTTCCAGCACGGATGCAGCACACAGCTGTAGGTTTCACTCAAAATTGTTTGAGTATAAAACAGAACGGTCTAGCATGGTGATAGATTTCCATACAATTAAAAACATTTGTGCATGGGGCATTTTGGATACCTTGTGATATAACATCTGCCCAGACTTCCACTCAGACCTCTGGGTAGAAATTAAATGATTCAGTACAAAGCAAAGGAATCTGGTCATGTCCTACCCCAAGAATCTGACTGAACAGCAGGGCATAAAGTGGACTGACTGCTCCATTGACAGCTGCTCCCAGTGATCCAACCACCATATAAGGCCATTCCGGAGCATTGTATTTCAAGATCCTGGCAACATTAGCAGGTTCTACTTCCTCCTGTACTGTGAGTAGTTCCTTTTTTAAAAAAAAGAAGAAGAGGTGAGCTGGGATAGTCATGATGAACTTGAAGAGAGGTTTATTTTACCAACATGTCAAGATATAACAGCAGCCTCAGATATTTCTGAGAAATACCGAACTTCCTCTTACATTCTACTATGGCGAGGGAGATTTCCATGTGTACCGAGAGTGATGTGATTAGAGATTTCATTCCCAACCTTTGTTCCTTTTTTTGCAATTTTTTATATTTATTTATAGAATTATCCATCAAAATGTATAAGTATACATTCCTTCCTCTTTCTACTGTATCTTAAACAGTGGAGCATGCCATATCATATATAATCCAACAGTGAACAAAGAAAAAGATCAAAAACATCTATAGATTCTAGATTAGTGGTTCCTAACCTTTGTTCCTCCAGGTGTTTTGGACTTCAACTCCCATAAAGCCCAGCCATCTTATCACCTAGGAATTGTGGGACCTGAAGTCCAAAACACCTGGAGGAACAAAGGTTGGGAACCACTGATCTAGAATCTAAATTCCTCTCTTTTTGAGAGCTTGGTAGAAGCAAAGCATTTGCAAATCTACTGGCCTGTGTATTGATATCTAGACTCATTGACAATTTTATGTATGGAGCTTTTCGGAACACTTTGCTATAACATTGTGCTTTTGAGAAAATTCTCACTGTTCATTTCAGCAGATATGGTCAGTGGTAACATAATATTCCAACCATTTGAAAAATGGTAGCATGAGCAGAGACAAAAATGGCAAACACTTCCCCTGTTAAAAGTCCCAACCCTTTTTCACTCCTCTCAGGCCCATTCCAGACAGGCCCTTTATCCCAAGATCTGATCCCAGGTTTTCTGTTTATCCCAGATTATCTGGCAATGTAGACTCATATATTCCAGTTTAAAGCAGAAATTCTGGGATCAGCTCCTGGGATATAGGGCCTGTCTGGAAGGGCCCCCAGAATCCAGAGACTTTAAGCCTTACAAAGAGGGAAAGCTGTCTGACAGCACATCAGACCACTGGTCCATCCAACCCAGGTTTGCCACCGCCACCAATTGGGAGAGGCTTTGAGGAATTTAGGTAGGGCTGTTTCCCCACCCTATCTGGAAGTAGCAAGGATTGAATTTAGAACAATTTGCTTGCAAAGTTCTAACTCTGAGCTATGGACTCTTCTTGGATTTATCCCACGGTGTATATATAACACCTCTTTAACTCTTCTCTCCATGCTCTGCTCAATGGGTTAAACCTTTGTGCCGGCAAGACTGCTGACTGACAGGTCAGAGGTTTGGGTCTGGGGAGAGTGGGCTGAGCTTCCTCTATCAGCTCCAGCTCCCCACGTGGGGACATGTGAGAAGTCTCCCACAAGGATGGTAAAACATCAAAAACAGCCAGGCACCCCCTGGGCAACAGTCGGCCAATTCTCTCACACCAGAAGCGACTTGTAGATTCTCAAGTCGCTCCTGATGTGGAAAAAAAATATCTGTGCTACCTATCCAAGTCTTTCAGCCAAAAACCTTGAATTTTTAAACCACTAGTGGGAATGAGATTTTACAGCACACTCCTAAAAATAGACTAGATCCACTCTATTTTTAACCACAATAATTGTTAAGTATGACCTAGATTACTTAAAGAACCAAGGAGCTGTTAAACCTATTTCTTTCCTGTGCCACTTAAGATAGCAAGTGCACTATCATGTGGTTGAACACTCTTCCATGCAAATGTAAATAAAATTACATAGATAACTAAATAAAAATGAATAAATCCTGCCCATGGAAAACCAAATGCCGGAATAATTAGTTCTGTTCTTGTCTTCTTTATGATATGCTTTGTTAAACATTCAACAATAAAATCCCCTTCCCATGAAGCGCAGAAGCATTATTATTATTATTATTATTATTATTATTATTATTATTATTATTTACCTATACTAATATAAACCTACATGAAAAGGATAATTAAAGTACATGAAGGTATATGTTACAGGTGAGAAACATGTGGCATGCCACAAGTTGTTGATTTGCAATTCCCATCTTCCTTAATAATACAGCCAATAATGTAGGATTCTAGGCCATTATTATTATTATTATTATTATTATTATTATTGGCATTTGTATCCCGTCCCTTTTCAACCCCCGAAGGGGGACTCAGGACGGTTTACATTAGTAACGGTGCAAGACCGCTGCATCACAATTACAATAATATAACACAATCAAATACAAAACAATCATTAAAACCAATACATATAACATTAATGAGAACAATAAAACAAAGTCACAATGTCATCTGCTGCAACGCTATTCCAGTCAATGTCCATTATAGTGGGAATTACATCTGCTGTCCGAAGGCCTGGTCCCAAAACCACAATTTTAATTTTTTTTCTGAAGGCCAAGAGGGATGGAGTCGACCATATAGCCCAACAATATCTGTGGAGTCCATATATACTCCCCAACCCTGACATACATAAGCAAATAATAGAAATTGGAATAGATGATCACAAGAAAAATCTGAGGAGACCAAATTTGCGAGTTTACTCAAGAAACACTAGATTTCAATTCAAAATCTTATTAACATGTTATTTAACAGAGTCAAGTGGGTTGTTTATAATTAGATTTCAACAGGAATTTTAGTATATCAGTCTCTGGTACGTAGTCAATTGAAAATCTAACCTGTGCTTAAAACCATGTCGGTACTCATATTTACTGAAAACAGTTTCTGTCTATTTATATGTTCAGTGTTGTGTATCTATTCTAGGGTTGGATAAGTTCATTCAGAAGAGCCAAAAGTCATAAAAAACTTCCAACTTTTGACTTCCAAAGCAGTTTTGAACCATGCAGGAAAGGTAGGAGGGGCAAATCTGAATTTGAACCACTTTCCTTTTTTTCAGAAATATTCCATAATGTTCAGATGTCTCCCAAGGTTATTCTATTCCTTCCTTCTCTGCTTTCCCTCCTCTTCTTGTCCCCCTCCCTCGGCTTGTGCTGGGTGAGGGACAAGAAGAAGAGGGAAAGCGGAGTTGGAAATATTTCCCTTCTCCTCTTTCCCTCCTATTTTTGTGGCTGGTGGCCTGAGGCACAGCAGGGAAGGCCTGCCTGTGTGGCTCCGGAGGCCAGGGAGGCAGGCAGGCACCCTCGGGATGGGCAAGGAGGAGCAGCTGCACAAGCGCTCAAAGTCACGGGAGCGCAAGTGGAGCCGGTGGCACTTATTGCAGAATGGAACACCCCCAATAAGTAAGGGAACACTGTACTATGATTTCTGTTCTTCACCAATTTAACACAGTTTGTGCCACACAAAGAAAGGTTCTGGAGTAGAACAACTACTTTCAAAGTAAAGACCGCCCAATAAAACAGGAAATAACACTTTCAAACCAGGAAAATATTTTCTTTATTATTAAAAATGTTTTTTGTAAAAACTTTGGAAATTCTGCAAAAATCCATGGAGAACTCAAAGGTGAGCTAACAGTGGTCCATGTGTTCTACCACTGTAGCAAGTTTCATCATGATAGGTCTAAAAATGAGGGAGGGAGACTCTCCTGAAGTTTCCCCAGTACCAGTGCTGTTTTTTTCCTACTGCGCATGCGTGTCCGCCATTAATGAAGTGATTCAGAAGTTTCTGAAGTTTTGGAAAATTTTGAATTTTTTTTTTGAGAAATTCGGAAGTGACTTTGGAATCGAACCACCAGCGCCCCTACATCCTAAATGAGTTTTGAACCAATTTTCTTGATCAACCAAGCCTAATCCATTAAAGTAACCTGACTGACAATGTACTATACTATAAAAAATCATTTTGTAATTAATATTATCTATCACATTCACTTCATCTGCATTTAATATTCTCCTTTTTATGCTGCACACACACACACACAAAAACTACACAAGGAAAAATTAATGTTCAGATTTTCATTTTATAGCAAATAAAGCCTAGGAAATGGACACTTGTCTCTCCTTGATAAGGAATATTACCAACCTTTTGCAGTGACTTATCATTTCCTTCATATTGAATTGGGCTGTAATTATTCTCTGAATGGTCTCCCACCATTGATACTGGATGGTCTGGGACTAGGTTTGATAACTGAGATCTGGTACGCTGTCGAAGAGAAGCCCTATAAAGATAAATAAAGAGAAAAAGAATAAAGAGAAATGCTCACATTTTAAAAACATCAGCATGAAGAGTTTATATCATCACATGGAACCCAGTAAAATAAAATGGCACCATATTGGGGAGGCTTTTCTCCTATTCAGTCCTTTCTTGTTGTGATATTGTCAATATTCAAATGTGAACACCAATGGCTGTGTAGCCAATAGGGTACTACACATGCACAAGAGTGAGCTATCATTAGATTCATTAAAATCCCAGGATTTGCCATGTAGACAATGGGATGGGGAAGGGTCTCTAGCTCTTTCCTAATATTAGGCTGGGGCACCCCTCCTGAAATGCTCAGGCAAATTTGGAGCACCAAGACTCTCAGGAATTCTAATTCTAAGTAAAGTGAATGATCATTATATTTCTCTTGCTTTCATGATACCACCTTTTGTTGAATGATGATGATTACAAAGACAAATGATGGTTTTAATTCTGAAACATGCCAGTGAGTAGTGAAAATTAATAATGGTCCGCCTGCCAATGTCAAATCCTCACATGTTAAAGATAATTCTGGGGTGCCTGATTTACAAATGCAAAACATCTTTAGGAAGAATATCAAAAACGAAGTTTAGGGAGAATGCCAAGAAACCACCTACTGAGGATTGGGCAAGCTCAGTGAACACAGAATGATATCTTATTTTCTATAGGAGGAAATAGAAAACCAGGTGGAAAGAGTAATGGAAAGCATTGGCTGAAATTCTAAACAGGCATAATATCACATTGCTCTGTTAAAGTTGTATAAATCAGTGAGAACAGGAATGTCACTCTCCCTGATTAGATAGATTAAGCACCACTGCTATAGATGGAATAATGGAGAAGCAATTTTCCTTAAACGCAATGAGGATGTACATATCATTGCTGCTGTCTTGTTGTGACTTGTACTAATTCCAAAGAGAGTTTGTTGGCCACATTCCTGCTAAATTCATGAGCAAATGATTGTATATAATCTTGTTGATGACATACACTGCTATAAACTTGGGTTATGTCAGCATAAGTCATTCCACAGAGGGGGAGTGGTTTACTTTCAAAACTACTGCACTCCAAGGAAGGCAGCATCTCTAGCAGGAGAATGCCTTGCATGGTCATTCAAGAGCTGGAGAATTGGGGGTACCCAAACAGTAGTTGGCAGCAGTTTTGCAGCTGGGCAATGAAAGAAGACATTGTATTCCTGGATGTTTACTGAGTATTAGAAGTTCAGGGTCAGGAGGAAAACAGGCAGAACAGCACAGGCAAAAAAGTATGCTGGTGGATCTCAGTCAAGGGCTGAATTGGCCCCAGAATCAAATACACAATTTCCATGTGACAGATTTGCATGTGATTTCTCAGCAATTGCAAAGATGCCTCCGTGTATTTCTCTCCTTTCTGCCAGCTTGAAAGCAAAAGAAAGAAAACAACTTCGCAACCTGCCCATTTAAAAAAAATCACAACTGGAGACATCCATATATCTCTTCTTATAATGTATCACAGAATAATAGAGGAGAAAAGATCAGAGGCTTGTTCATAAAACATAGAACTACTGTGGTTAGGCCCTTGTCAATGTATTTCTAAACAGTATGAGTTTCAAGATTATTTTTGCATTCGTAGAACAGTTGTTCCAACTCAGAACAAAGCTTACAAACTTAGATATTATTCCATTAAAAGGATGCCCATTTCACAATAACAACCTTGTTTCAAAGCCTTTAGTGAAAATAATCAGGTTTCAGACAAGCACTTCCAACCCTGCTGGTGAACTATATTTAAAATTCTTCTCTATATAAAGCAGATTTATGAGACAAGCTTGTCTCTTCTGATGAATACCAATTGTCTGTTGTAAACCGATTTCCATTTAAAAGGATCAAAACCCCAAGGGGGTGCCCATTGAAAGTGAATGCTGTATGCAGTTTTTTTAAAAATAGAATAACTTTGCATGTATGGCAACGGTTCATGACAGACAATGCCTATATAATTAAATATAAAATTTAGCATCCCCCATGCATAGTACTTCTGTTCTATATATGGTTGTGAAAGCTGAACATTGAAGAAGTGTAACAGGGGAAAAATCAACTCATTTCAAATGTGGTGCTTGGGGAGAGTTCTATGCATAACACAGACTACCAAAAACAAACAAGCAAGTGAGCTCAAGAGTAAATTAAGCCAGAACTCTCCCTAGAAGCCAAAATGACTAAACTGAAGCTATCATATTTTGGAAATGCTGACTGGCATTTCATTAGGTAAACACATATGCGTCATTTTCCCTTACACCTGAAACTCCAGGGTTCTCAAGAGATATTTTCCATTGACAATCAGGATGCAGCAGGATTATGCTCACCAACAATCTGTGATGTGATAAGGAATTGCAACAGAGATCTTGCTTCTGATTGGCACAGCTTTGCTTTCTGGTGGGAGGAGGATGGAAGCCCCATTTTGCTATGTCCCAATTCCCAGCAGGTGACAATACTAGTTACACATTCATATTTAACTTAAGGAACATGGGATCTCGGTTTATAATTCTGGGCTGGGCCAGGTGACAATATTAGTTACATATTCTTATTTAACTCAGCAACCTAGGAGCTCTGCTTATAAATTTTGGTAAAATGTAAAGGAGTGTGAAAGTCATATTGTGAGAAGATTGATTTATTCAAGACAACTACAGGCTTGTGTTTGCAAAATGTAAGGGATTCTGTTGATGAACAGGGTTTTGGAAGTCTCCATTAATAGACGTTGCCATAAGAGACCTAAGAGCAAATAACCACACTAATAAACAACAGTATTTGCTCTAGTCACTGAAGCCAATGCAATTAAAAGCTGAATACAAGCTATGCTAGCTAATCACATCCTTTCACCTGATTCTTCAATACCTAGTTATCTACTTCACCAACCACAGGTCTGCTTTTACTTTTAGAGAATCTGAAGCAGTCACCATAGGGATCAAATGATGGCAACATGGTCAACCCTCCTGGCTGGCCATATGATGATTTGATTGCGCTTTTCTTACATGGCCGGGGGTTAAACTGGATGGCCGATGTGATCTCTTCGAACTCTATGATTCTATGATCCATATCTGTTCATATTTTGTAATCGCAATACAACTTGGGTAAAAGTATGATAGCTGGGACCGAGTGCTGGTAGTGCTACAATGATTCTGGAATGTTGGTTGTGAATGAGGAACACGTGTGTGACCACGTGGTCGAGAGAGTGAGCAGAGTGAGAGCAGGCGGGACTAAGTCAGCAAGATAGTTCGTAGGAATGGAAGACGAGCCCAACACAGGTCAGAAAGGGGGGGGGGGCAGAAAGAGGGGACAGAAAGGGGGAACAATAAACAGGGAAGCATTACTTCACTGTTATCGGTGTTCCGCCTCTGTTAACTGAGTTCAATGGTATCTTGCCAGTGCATTGCGCTATGAGTTCAGTGGTATCCTGCTGCTGGATTGCGCTATCAGCGTTGGCGAAGCAGCACTGCGGAATCAGTGTAGTGCTATCAGCACTTGGTCCCAGCTATCATACTTTTACCACAACTTGCCCTAGGCTTCCTCAACTTGCCTGCAGTCTCCATGAGAACTTGAAAACCCAGTGTTTAATTTTTGGTGGGATGAGGAGATGTTGCTTTGTTCTTTGCGGCAGGCAGAAAAATGTCTTCAGACACACTACTATAACTGCACAATAAAAGGATTTGGTTCAAGGCCTTCAATTTTGTATCAATGGGCTAAACATTGGGTTGCTGTGAGTTTCCTGGGCTGTATGGCCATGTTCCAGAAGCATTATCTCCTGCCCACATCTATGGCAGATAAAAGTGACATCACACAGTTTGGACATTGATCTGCAAAATCATATGTGCACTTTCCACAAGAGCAGGATTTTTCAAATTATTTTTCTACCTTGTTTTTTCACCAGCTAACACTACATCAGGCAATGTTCCATATTAACAGTACAAAGACCTGGGCTTACCTCAGGCTGGCACGGTAACTTCCCCTGCTGAAGGACTGTACTTTCTCAAGTCTTGGTTCAGATACTGCAAAACATAGAAGCTCATTAGAAGAAAAATCAAATTGCTATTAGTTACTATTTTTTAAAAAATGTTGTTTACACTGGAGGAAGCAAATCTATTATGATGTCAAAAGTGTGATGCAAATCTAAGTGAACTTTTATGTTAAGGGTCTTCAGTGTGCGTACTTCATGGATTGATGCTCTGCCATGATTTTATGCCTGGCCACAAGGTAGTGGTAGCAATCTTTACCTATTCTGTTCACAGGAAAAAGGTGTTATGTGGCCCTTCACACTTCAGTAGGGAATCCTCAAGCAGATTTTTCACCAAGAGTAGAATCCCCACAAAGTAGTCACCTGGGGCAGGTTTTGTTGAATTGTATAGCAGGTATGCATATAGGAAAGTTACCTAGTAAATCTTTCCTTCAAAGTAAAATGTCCTGGCAAATACATAACTGGAATGTCGGGACAAAAGTCAAACTAGAACTATTTATTCTAACATATTAATTTTGTACATTACAAGCCTTTTTTTCAAGAGAAGAACACTTAAATAAGCGATCTTTTGCCTCAGTCTGAAATGCGGCATTTCAGCACATGACTAGCTCTTTTGTCTCTTCTGACATGGTGAAAGCAAGAAAAAATTGATGCAATAAATGAAGAAGCACCTCTGTTGGCTGGAACTGGCCACGGTGGCATACACTAGAAAACGATGCACCCTTGAAGCAATTTACCTTCTGTGTCTGATATTTTGTAATACTGTTTTAAGAAAATCAGTAAATCCAATTTAGAAAAATACTGAGATCGACACAGTCATATCAATTTTAGCAAGTGTCAACAGTGGAGACATTCCTAAAATGAACTACAACAAAGGAACCAGCTTGCTCAGGTGTATGTGTAAAGAACTTCAGTGTGAACATCACTAACAAAGCACTCTTATTCCCAAGAGCAAACTTTTGACCCCACCCCCAAAAGGTTTCAGCAGCAGCTCCCAGAATCTCTGTCCATGGATCATGATAGATGGGACTTTGGGGAGACGAATAGCAAGCATCTGGACAGCCAGTCCCCTCACTTATGGTCTAAGATTGAAATACAATTTTTAGTCTCAACTAAACGATAAATAGAACTTGCCTAAGTGTTGACTTATCCAGTTCACATTAATCCAACATATCTACTTTAATTATTAGAGTTTTTATCATTTCTTAAGAAACAAGCAGTGTAAGGATCAGGGCAGCAAGCAGTAAGAGCCAAACCACCTGGCTAGCATTGTGTAATTACAGCAAGGGTGAAGTATCTACTGGGGTAATAAAGGAGCAAAGGGGCTACTTATTGTTTGAGGTGTTGGAAGGTTGGAGTTTGCCGTGGTTGGAGTTCTGAGAGGCTTGTGGCTCTCTCTCTCTCTCTCTCTCACTCTGTGTGTGTGTGTGTATAGTCTGCTGCAAAGACAAAGGTGTGAGTTTGCTCCTTGGTCAGAGGGGGAAAGCTTCCATGATTGTCTATGAACACACATTAATCTTCATTGTGACAATTGTGGCTAACAATTGAGTTTTAAGCAAAGATTATAGTTTTATAGGAAAACAATGCTTGCCATCTCCAGTTATAAAGGTCAGAAAGCAGGCAATGGGAAAGATTCTTATCTTGGAGAGTTGATACGTACAGAGTAAAATCTGAGGTGAGCCTGACCTTCTGCAAAGCAGCTTCCTTGATTCTTATTATGCATCGGACTATAGCCTGAATCTTCATGGACCCAAAGTAATAAAAGGTTCACACTCTATTAAACTGTTATTCACTCATCAGCTTGTGCACTTTTCAAACATGCAACAAGATACTTGCTTTGCGCTGATGTTTCTGTGAGTGTCTTGTCTCCTTGGCTTTGTAAAGTCACTAGGGTAAAATAAACCCCTTTCCGTTCCATCAGCTCCTCGTGTTTTCCCCTTTCAACAGCTCTGCCATGTTCAAAACCAATTATGACATCAGCAGTTTTGACTGTGGATAAGCGATGGGCAATGGAGATTGCGGTGCGTCCAAGGCGAACCTAAAGTCAAGGAAAAATATTCTCAGAGAAAGCAATGGCATGAAGGAAAGTACATAAATTGTCTATTTTTATCATAATGAATCCTAGGTGGCACATGTGATGCACTGTTCATAAAAAAAACTTTATTTAATTGATGCAGAACTGACATTGTATTGTATAATTGATCCTCAATATTCCCGTGTTTTACATCCATGGAGTGTGGAGCTATGCTACAGCCGGCCATTCAACCCCACTTTCCAGTTTACCACATAGCTGTTGCAGTCCATCCCATGGCCATCTATGCTTGGTGGAGAGTGGCCATGAGGCAGATGGGATTCGAAGGCGCTATGTCTCCATAACCAGATTTGAAATGATTACAGTATCCTCTGAGGTCCATCGAGATCCTCTGAAAGTCTCAGCAGATGATGCAGTCATTTTTCATCTTGTGATGGAGACATATCTAGATGCTTTTCCACTCTTCTTATTTTCCTCCAGCTGTGGAAAGACCATGGTGGGGTGGTTTCAGAGTAAATCCTAGGAAGAGTTTGGTAGTTGGAAGGAAATGCCAACTTCCATAAGACATACATGTGTAAGGTGAACTTACACCTGCACGTTACATTAACAAGATGCGAGCCAATGATCCCTTTTTTGCAAGGGAGGCTGCATCTGTGGTTATGGACTGAAACAAATTCAGAACAATAAAGTAATGTTTTTAGTCCTTGAATTTTTATTTTATCCTTCCTCTAAGTATCTCAGGTCATCGTAGCAGTTACTCTTCCTCACAACAGCCTTAAAAGACAATGATTGGCTGAGTGGATTATTTCCTGTTCCTCAGAAGAGATTCTACTTGCTGTGCCACACTCACTCAAATTTTATATCTTGGAATCTTAGCATAAAAACATCTATGCTAAGATGCTAACATCAAAGATTAAAAGATCAGAGTGGGAGTTTGTTTCCACACCTATTTCTGTCATCTTGAAACAATATTAAAACATGGCAAACCTTATGAAGTGCCTCCTGAACTGTAGCTTCACTTTCATTGTCCAGTGCTGAGGTAGCCATGTCCAGCAGCAAGATTTTAGGTTTCCGAACTAAGGCTCGAGCAATAGCAATCCGCTGTTTCTGGCCTCCGCTCATTTGGCCACCTCCTTCTCCAACCAGAGTGTCAAATTGCTGAAATATATAGAGAGAATAGTAATCAAGTAGTCAAAGGTCTTTCATATGTTCCCCTTTAGTCCATTATATGAATCAAAGAAGTCAAAGAATAACGTGTTTCTTGTTTTCACTCTTTCATTTACAGAATGAAGATAAAATGTGTGTTTCTCCCTCCAGTGGGAAGCTCCATCTCTCCTTTCCTCTAAGAAAAAACTCAAATCATGGTTTTGGGACCAGGCATTCGGATAGCTGGCTTAACAGTAATCGCAATGCTTCATGAGAACTGATAATGGACTGGGTCTCTAGATGCTGAATTGGACTTGGATGTGGCTATTTTGTTGTTAATATTGTTTTAAATGGATATTTTATAACTTAATGTTTTAACTAATATTTAATGTGTGTTATATTGTTTTGCTTGTATGTGTCGGCATCGAATTGTGGCAGGTTGTAAGCCACCCTGAGTCCCCCCCGGGGGTTGAGAAGGACGGGGTATAAATGTTTGAAATAAATACATACATAAATACATCGAAACTGTGGCATGCCCCTTTGCATAATATCAGAAACATGAAAATGGAAGAGTTGAAGCGAATGCTTACAGATCATTGTTGTCATTTCTTTGGAATGCAAAATACTGTAAGAAAGGAGTGAACTTCAGATGTTATTAACTGCGACAACTAAGACCTTTCACCATTGACTGTACTGGTGGTGGTTGCAGTCCTACAGCTTTTAGAGGGCTACAAATTTATCATCCATGTTCCAAAATAGAAGCACTGCCTTCTTTCAAATCTGATCAATGATCTATCCAACCTAGTATTTAACCTAGTATTTCTACTGATAGTTAAGTCTTGGCTAAGACTTGGCTAGCAACGTCTTTTGTTCTTTAGCTCAAATCATTTTGGGAGAGATGCCAAGTCCTGAACTTCAAAGTACAAGCCAGCATGTACTCTCAGGGAGTTGTAGTCAGGTCTGCTCAAAATGCTCAAAACCAGCCGAGAATAACATGTATTATTTATAAAGCCGGCAAATGTCAACACAACCCTGAAAAAGCAGGTGTTCTGTATCTTTTAGAAGCTGCATGGTTGTCCTGAAAATGTAATTCTATAAAATGATAGCCATCCATATGCTGGGAAAGAGAGACACAGCATGCATGCATCAGAAGCAGTTTCTGTTGCAAAGTCTCCCACACTACGCCCAAAACAAGGAATGTGAAAAAGCAACTTAAGCAACTCATGAGGGAAGCAGCAGAAAAAATTCATTGAAAACGTATAGTAGATCAGACCTGCACAACATATCGCTTACAGGCTGCACACAGCCCCTCAAAGGATTTCAGTTGGCCTGTTATGACCAATGTTGCCCCTCTCCTCTGACCAAGATCAGGAGCCAAGCGTCAGTGTCCTGAGCACAGCTCCACCTCCTCTTCCATGCCCATGAACAGGGCTTCTCTCTTGTTGTCTCCTGCTGTTGCACTCCATGCCCTCTGCCAGCACTTCTTTCAGAGGTTGGGTTAATAGGAAAAGCCAGGGTGTCAGGCTGGCCAGCTGATTGGTTGTGTCTCTTCTGCCTGGCAACTTGGGTTCCCTTGGGAGGCACATGGAGTCACTATGTGCCCACTCTGCGGTGTTGGGGAATGAGTGCACCAAGCTGCAAGTGTCATATTGAGTGGGGCAGGAACGGAGGGGGACTTGAGGGTGGCTTCTCTGATGGACATGGAGAGCACAAAAGAAGCTCCATGCTTAGGACTACAGGAGGGATGCCAAGGTCTCAATGAGCAGGTTTCTCAGGAGCAAGATGCCCCCTGATCCTGGTTTTGGTCCTGAGCAATGTGGCCCAAAGTACTTAGTTTAGCCTATTTTAATGTTGGTCCCTTACTACTGCCAAGTTGTGTAAGCCTGCAGTAGTTGAATTGATGGTCCACGTATTTACTTGTGACCTGCAACCTGTAAGTGACTTGCTGGATATATGGTAGAAGAAAAACGTGAAACTACAGAGAAACTGACAAAGAGAAGCAGGGAATATTTTGTATATGTATGTACAAGTATCGTTTTTTTCTTTTTTGGTGTTTTATTTTCTGTTAAAATCTTGAAAAAAATGAAGAAAAAGAACTCACTCAGACATCTCTTTAAATACAAGCTAATACAGAAGATGGCATATTTCTGCATTGCCTGGATCTCAACTGTAATGGACAGGCCACAACAAGTTGTCATCACTCCCCTCCCCAAATATCTAGCATCAGGCATGTTATCTAGGTTTAACTTCCTGCTTCTTTTGCCTGTCTACAGTGCTGGGTTTATAGATGAGTCATGTAAACAACTGTTAAGGGCCTGAGATTAAGAGGAGTCTCTAAAACAAAAGGTCTCTTAAACTTCTATACTAGGGCCGCAGTGTGCCTTATTTTGTCTCTTCCTCCCCGAGACTGCAAAACAGAGAAACTCTCAAGCATTTTGTGAGGTTACTACACAAGGCTGATGATGCACTCGATCTGATGAGGCTCAACCTACAACAGGCCTGGTGAAAGCCTGCAGTTGCATCAAAATGTAGTGTTTATATGTATTTTGTTAATTTAAAAGTCATCAAAAGTATTAAAGATCAACACTTGTTTCTTGAAGTGTGGTATCTGTTTATTGACTATGTAAGCAAGGTCTCCTCACTGTATTGTCACTCAGTAACTGAGTGGGGTCTGGGGCTGTGATGAGCATTGGAGGACCTGATTGGCCATGAACTTAGTGAAACAGACATTTCAAACTTTGTGGAAAGCCTGTCCAGCTGGGTGTACTCATTTCTTACTTATGTTCATTTTCTTCCTTTATATTTATTAGACATTAAAGCAAAATAGAAGCCTGCCCTTTGCCCCCAAAAAGCATATTTTAAAATCCAACATTCACTTTACCAAAGGCAGGTCCATGATAAAGTTGTAGGCATTGGCTTCTTTGGCTGCTCGAACAATATCCTCCATAGTTGCATCTTCCCGACCATAGCGAATGTTCTCGGCAATGGTGGTAGAGAAAAGGACAGGCTCCTGCTCCACAATGCCAATCAACGAACGCAGCCACTGGATGTTCAGAGAGCGAAGATCATGCCCATCTAGAGTAACCTATACAATGATAGTCATCAGCAGAAAGAAAGAATTGATGCATTTGTCCAATTGTTCATTTACCTATGAAGGAGGAATATGTTCTGTCTGAAACTTCAAAAGAAAAAGAGGTGGGACCTTAATAAAGTGAACACAACAACAACGATGATTATGATGTTCACCATAGTCATAGATCATGCTTCGAAATTATTTAGCTTAAGGCAGGAAAATGACAACCTGTGAAGAAAGGATGATGAGTTCTCACCATGCCTTCGCTAGGGTCGTAGAAGCGCTGAATGAGCTGTATGGTGGTACTCTTCCCAGCTCCACTGGGGCCAACAAAAGCTGTTGTTTCCCCTGATTTGATAACCATATTGAGTTTATCTAAGATCTGTAAATTAATAGTGAAACAGAGAGATTGAGGGAGATGTCATATTTGAGAAATGTTAGGCTTAGTTTTCAAAGCAACATTTGGAAGCTGTTGGAATACTACACAAGAAAGGGACGAGCCTTTACCTTCACTTCAGGTCTAGATGGGTAATAGAATGTTACATTGTGGAACTCAATTTCCCCTCGGACTTTATCCAGTTTGTAGCCATCTTCTGACATACAGTCAATGATAGGTTTCTAGAGCAAAGTTGACCAATCATGTTACTCATTTATTTTTTTCTAAAGAAAATATCTCACTTCTTCCTCTATAACCATACTGTGATTCAGCCTAGTATGTATAACCAAAGCAACCATATCTTCTCATATATAGCACAACTCCCTTCCGTTTCCTCTTGCTTATGTTGTTTTCAAGATTGTAAACCTATCAGGCTTATCCTCTCATAATCTGTAGAAGCACCATGTGCACAAAGGTCATTTGCAATTTATAAATATTGCTACTGCTGCTTCTATCACTACTAATATTCTAAATGTTAGCATCATAGATCCCTTCTACACTACCATATAAAATCCAGATTATATGCATTGAACAGGATTACATGGCAGTGTGGACTCATATAATCCAATTCAAAAAATATAATGTGGATTATCTGCTTTGATAATCGGATTGATTATATGGCAGTATAGAAGGGGCCTTAGTCTATAGAAATCTTTCAGACATCATAAAGCAGATGTCAGGTATAGAAGTGTGGTGCAAACACCTCAAATGCAAAACAATGATGTGACCATTCAGAGTTAAATGTTTTTATTACCCTGTTTGACTGCATTGACATTATTTCTTTCTGTCACAAAGATCTGCTATAATTTGTTTGTTACAAATAAATAATTTGAGCACTTTCTTCAGTGAGTAGGACAAAAAAGAGCCCTTCTTTTATGACACTACTAAAATTCAGCATATTTTTTCTGACAACAGTGGTGGCATTTGCATTTATTTCAGACACAGTGGTGAACATTGAGGGCAATAGAGGAACACAACAATAACTGGGATACCATATGCAGTGTACTTTTGGCCCGTTTGGTCCATAGTTCACCACTGGCACACTTCTGGCTTTAATAAACATCTAGCCTAACTGGATTTTCAGAGCAGTCCTCATTGATAGGTCAAGATTATACAGCGGAGAAAAGCTTATTGTGATACAAGCCAATGCACACATGTTTCTCCTATACATGCTTCTGGAGCTTTGTATTTATACACAATAAAATCCACTTGAGCTGGATGTCCATTCAATCCTGATGTGTGCCTGTTCTGGGCCATTGGAAGCTGGCGGACATAGAGATTCCTAGAGGTCTGTTCTTGCTAGAAATCTCTAGATCCTCCACTACGACTGGAGGAAGTTAACTACAATGTCACCATGGGTGCTGTGAGTGACAAACATGGTGAAAGGTTTCATCAGGACATTGCCAAGATGGAGAAATGGGATCAGGGCAAATAGAATTCGTCTATGTTTAGTGACTATTGTTGGACTTCATCCTCAAAGCATCAGACAGTGATTACAAACAAAAATCTGTGGCAAAACATTTTTAGTTTTGTTTCCTGATTACACCATTACGGTTAATAGTGTATGCTGCTATAGACATATAGCAATGCTTAGACTGTATTGCCTTTTTCTGAAAAATTGTATGTGATACAGACATAATAAATACATAGTTGGGTTTAGCATGTTAAAATCTACCATACTTGGTTCACCCAAAATTGTGGAAGAAACAAAACATTCCCAAAAATGTTTTGATCAGTGTAATAATATACATTTTCAAGATTTTTGTCATTTATGAATACGTTCACCCACTCACTGCAGCTGACATACTAACGTGTTGCAACACACAGTTTGGAAAGCTCTGCTGTATATAGGATACATACAGGTGGCTTCTATGGACAAAGCCCATTGGCACCACTAGAATTCGGATGGACCAATATTTTAACCTTACAGTTCCTTTAAGCTTCATAGACACTATGCATATTAATATCCTTCTCTGTCCCTTTAGATTAGCTTCATTTCTGATAATCATCTGAGAGGACATAGCTGCGTAGTTTCCAAAACTACTTAATTGTGAACAGCCTTCTTGCCTTCCAGTGCAATTTCTTGATAATCCGGCAGCTTATAGCATGTGGTCCTAATAGACAAATATTCAAGCTCGGTAATTGCCTGAATATTTATGAGCAAATCACTTAGAAATGTCACTTGGTTGAATTTACTCCTGGCAAATTCACAGGCATAGTGCTGTTTTGCTTTAATCTGCAATCAATTTTGCCTTAAGCAGGAAAATATTTCTTCTTTCGAGTCGTAAACCCCCATGCTACTCAAGGTTTATGTGATATACATTTTCTCCTCAAAAGCAGTGTAATGACATTGAGGAAAGTGGTTACTCACTTTATCTATTGTCTCAAAGATATTTGTTGCAGCCCCTCGGCCAGTTGCAAAAGCTTCCAGACAAGGAGCAGCTTGCCCAAGATTTAAGGCTGCCAAGAGAACTCCAAAGAAAACCTGAAGAGCACAAAAAGAAAGATAATTATGTTTCCTGATCTATCTATGTGGTTTCAGGGCAGAAACGGAATCACAAATGGACATGCTGAAGCCATTAAAGAGCATAAAATGATGCAATTTCAGGAGTCAGGAATATAATTTAAAAGAGACAATGATTTCCCACTACATTTTAAGTTTCACCCTTTTAAGTTTCACCATATGCCAATAGGAGACTCATTTTCAAAGTGGTGTTCCTTGTATTTATCCATTATGTTTCCCAATTAATCCTTTCTTATCCCACATTTTCAACTGTCTTTAAAATTTTCTATCTTCTCTCTTCTCCTTCCACTTTCCACATTAGTCTTCAGCTTATTTGTATGGCTGCAAACTGAGTTTAAAGTAGTTTATAACTCAATTAACTCAGCAAAAGAACAGTAGGGTGTATCTTGGCCTTTTCTGTAGGCTCAGGCAAAAGCAAACTGTTGCAGCTTCCCCTATCTTGCATTTTCGATCATTAATAATTTTACCATCTTGATTACACTACTTGGCCCAGTTTAATCTGAAATGTTGGAGGCCCTGCTATATAGCCAAAAGGATACCATCCATGCAACAAGAGGGGAATGACACAAGATATTGAGAAAACGTGAAAAACATTACCCAAAAATCATTATAGGGAAGGAAACTCCAAAGGTGACACTCTTCCCACTTAATATGGCCCATTAGAATGCTAAATGACAATGAAGAGGCAGGGAAAGGAAAAAAACAAGTTAAATGGACTATGCTGGAGAAAGGCCTGTGTGCCCAACTGGAACCTTGCTACAGAATTCTGATGCAGACTCCACTTGTGGAAAATTAAATTCCAATCAAGGTAAAATGAACAATTAATAATCACCAATCCTCAAAATTGTATTTACTGTCACTTTCCATCTGCAATAGCAGCATAGACACAAAAGCTTGAACAGAAAAGCATTTAAATTCACCAATGATGGCCCAAATTCCACATTCAAGATGAAACTGCTTATAACAAACCACACAACCATCTGGAGTTCTCTAAAGCAATGGTTCTCAACCTTCTTAATGCCACGACCCCTAAATACAGTTCCTCATGTTGTGGTGACCCCCAACCATAACATTATTTTTGTTAACTACTTTCATAACTGTAAATTTGCTACTGTTATAAATTGTAATGTAAATATCTGATATGCAGGATGTATTTTAATTCACTAGTCCAAATTTGGCACAAATACCTGATATGCCCACATTTGAATACTGATGAGGTTTTTTTGGGGAGGGGGGTTGATTTTGTAATTTGGGATATGCAGCTGTTGGGATTTATAATTCACCTACAATCAAAGAGATTCTGAACTCTACCAGTGATGGAATTGAACCAAACTTGGCACACAGAACTCCCATGACCAACAGAAAATATTGGAAGAGTTTGGTGGGCATTGACCTTGAGTTTGGGAGTTGTAGTTCACCTACATCCAGAGAATCAAGCTAGGATGGATCTGGACCAAACTTGGCACAGATACTCAATATGCCCAAATGTGGACACTGGTGGAGTTTGGGAAAAATAGACCTTGACATTTGGGAGTTGTAGTTGCTGGGATTTATTGTTCACCTACAATCAAAGAGCATTCTGAACCGCATCAAAGATAGAATTAGGCAAAACTTCCCACACAGACCCCCCATAACCAACAGAAAATACCGTGTTTTTCTGATGGTCTTTGGTGACCCCTTTGACGCCCCTGGCGACTCGCCAGGGGTCCCAACCCCCAGGTTGAGAAACGCTGCTCTAAAGAATAAGAATACAATAACAGGACAAAGGAAACGGAAAAGCCCTTATGTGGATCTTGATGAACCTTCCATTTGCAGGGTTGTTGTAGGTTTTTCAGGTTGTATGGCCATGTTCTAGAACATGCCATACAACCCGAAAAACCTACAACAACCCAGTGATTCCGGCCATGAAAGCCTTCGACAATACTTCATTTTGCAATGTTTAGGTTACAAGTCAGTTACTATGGCGTATTATCAACACAGGCCAACCATAATTTTAATTGCAAAAATAACCAATAAGAAAACACTCACTCAAAGCAACACGTTGACCAGCACATAAACCTGTATAGCCTTTACCAATTAATTTATTTTTAAAACTTTTTCATTTTAGAGAAATTATTTTGTTTTATTAAACTTTTTATTAAAATTGTAAATGCAATAAAAAAAAACAAGCTAACAACACAGGTTAAGCATTCCTTATTGGAAATTCCAAAATTCAAAATACTCCAAAATCAGAAATGGTTCACAGGGGAGGCCGAGACAGTGACATTTTTGCTTTCTGATGGTTCAATGAACACAAACTGTTTAATGCACATTAAAACAAATATTGTGTAAGATTGTCTTCAGGTTATGTGTATAAGATGTATATGAAACATAAATACATTTTGTGTTTAGACTTGGGTTTCATTTCTAAGATATCTCATTATATAGTAAATGCAAGGGTTTCCCCTGACATTAAGTCTAGTCTTGTCCAATTCTGGGGGTGGTGCTCATCTCCATTTCTAAGCCAAAGAGCCGGCGTTGTCCGTAGACACCTCCAAGGTCATGTGGCCAGTGTGACAGCATGGAGCACTGTTACCTTCCTGCCAAAGTGGTGCCTATTGATCTACGCACATTTGCATGTTTTCAAACTGCTAGATTGGCATAAGCTGGGGCTAACAACAGGAGCTCAACCTGTTTGTGGATTCAAACCTCTGACCTTCCAATCAGCAAGTTCTGCAGCTTAGCGGTTTAACTCACTGCACCACCACAGCCTCTGATCTCATTATACACATATATGCAAATACAGAGCCAAAAGTCAACATCCCAAAGACTTCTGATAAGGGATACTGAACCGGTACAAGCTGTTAACATCATTATAGAATCATGAGATAATTATTTTGACTTCCTGAATAGACTGTTTGAGTTTATCATTATGTATATTTATAATGAGAGATAAGGTGAATGAGGAAAGTATTTGGAAACCATTACCTGTAAAAGTGTGCCAGGTGAGTATTCCTCTTCTTCAAGGACAAGTTTTGAGCCATACCAGAAGGCTAGCGCATAGCACAGGAAAATGATACACCAGATGTAACCAGTGAAAAAACCCATTATTATCCCTTTTCGAATTCCCCAGTTCTGGGCAAACACTAGGTTTTTGTCATATCTGGAGAAAAAGAAAAAAAATGCATTGAAAACACCTGTTTGGCATAAAAACAAAATAGAGATTTAATGAAAGTAAGGTCTACTTGAGGGGCTAGAAAATCTATAAAATTTCTAAATGAAAGTGTAAGCATGAATACCAATGCATTGAATTATCAAAGAAAATTAACTTTAAAGTTGTAAGAGAAAAACATAGAATTATTCCATTGCATTAGCAGTTACACATTTGTTGAATTTAAACAGTTTATTAAAGTTCTCCAAAATGGATAATCTCACAACATTCCTGCCTTTCACCATGACAGATCCAGTCTGCCATGCCCTTGGGCTCATCAAGACATACCACATTTCCTAAGACCCATGGGTGCCTCCATCAAGATGTTTATTTTTCATTGTGAAATGAAATTTTATGGGAGCTGGAAGCATTTTTGTCTTCTGGGCATAACCTTCTAATTTTTTCCTGCTGCTTCTTCCATTCTTTTTCTTGCCAGACAATATGTATAAATCCACATATCCACAAAGGGGAAAAAGAAGAGTAAGCATGCACTGCCTTTTGATTAATAGTGTTACAAGTTCTCTGTCACATCTTCCAGCTAAGCTGCTGTCATGCAACAAAAAATCCTTTTCAGATGCAACTTCTTTATGCTCACATTTAGCACTTGAACAAAACACTAGACACATAGGCAGGCCTTCTATCTATATCTTCCAGCCTTCACAAAGGAACCAACCTTTCAACTTCTTTTCTTTCTCCTCCAAATGCAGCCACTGTTCTTATGGATGAGAGCACTTCATCGGCCACGGCACCAGCTTTTGCATAAGCTTTTAATTCCCGACCAGTCATCTTTGCCACAGTCTAAAAGAAACCATCAGAGGAGTCAGTGAAGCAGGACAGAATTTTACACTCCGCAGATCAAACTTCCTATGTTTATATTAGATTACATACATTTTTAAAGGAACACTCCTATAGCTTATTATCACTACTACAACTACTATCACCATTATCAGTTTACATAACCACTTTCTAATCTTATATGCTAGCCGGTTCATATGAGACAGCACCCATTTCAAGCAGTGTACCTTGAAAGGTAGCATTAGCATGTTCAGTAACAGATGTTCAGGGTTGGGAGGTATAGATGAGATGCTGGAGAGCAGAGCTACATAAAACACTGTGGCCTGCTCCTTCCTAAGCTCCTCCACTGGCTCATGCAATGGCAGAATGATCCATCCTTAATATAGATGCAACTGTCAAACTAGGGGGTGCTTCTACACTATGATATTATGCAGTTTGAAACCACTTTAACTGGAATGGCTCAATGCTATGGAAACCTGGAACTTGTAGTGAGGCACCAGCTCTCTTTGGCAGAGAAGGCCAAAATTACAACTCTCAGGAGTCCATAGCATTTGGCAGCTGAAGTGGTGCCAAACTGCAGTGTAGATTTACTCCAAATTCATTGAGTTCTTACACATGTAACAAGGAAGACAGAATTACTACCTTTGACTCAGGTAACTAAATATGTACATTGCTCAAGTACAGGCCATTTAAACTGTTGGTGTTGTATAAATGAATACACAAGTCGAATCTGTTGTTGTTGGCCTTCAAGTCATTTCCAGCTCATGGTGACACAAAGACAAACATAACAAAGGGTTTTCTATGCAAGATTTATTCAGAGGGGGTTGTCTTTGCCTTCCTTTGAGGCTGAGAATGTGATTTCTCCAAGGTCACCCATTGGGTTTCCATGGCCAAGTTGGCATTCAAACTTGTTTTAGTCTAGTGTTCAAAGGACTAAACCATGAAAATAGTTATACATTATATATGATGTTTTTCATTAACAATATAACAATATATAGGAACCACACTCTAATAAAGGAACTTGGTCAGTTTTCTAGTTTTATAGATGAGATTTTTTATATAAGAAAGTTGAGGGAGACCTTGCAAAAGACATATCTCTCACATAGACAAGCTTCAGAAGCCTGGGCATGTTCGTTTGTGTTCTGTAACACACTTCTGGCACAAGGCTAACTAATTTATTGTGCACAAAGCATCCTACATCAGAGTGCTCCTTTTCAGATGGCTGAGGTGGTATACTTATATATAGCTGTGCATATTTTGTAGGTTGCATCCCAGAGTGGATGGGATGTGCTCTCAAGTTTCCATCTCACAGTGGTATCTGCTAGAGGAATGGAGTGAGCCACCCCAAGTCCCTTTGGGGAAAGGAAGGGGGATATACATAAAATTTATTATTTATTATTAGCTGCAGCCTTCTGTGTTTCCCCGATCAGGGTTTTTTATTCCAATATTTTTTTATTTCAGGAATTTTGGAGTCTTGAAGAGGCTACAGAGGTAAGGAGAAGGTAAAGTTGTGGTGTGTAGCAGATATCAATTCACAAAATGCTAAACCTGTTAGTGTGCCTGCTCTTGTAGTAGTAGTAGTAGTGCCCTATTTTCCTCTCTTAAATGAGACTCAAAGTGTCTCACAGCATTAAAAACAAGTCAATGGAAAAATTAATTGCTTTCCCTGAGGTCCAGTTATCAGCTTGATTAAAGAAGTATAGGGAGCACTATTGAGAAATGCTGAAAAATGGATAGTTTTCTTTTAATCTTGTATTAAGTAGTTTGGGAGAGCTCCATTGAGTCATTTTCTGAATCTTGGAAACTTCCCTCAGTGCCAAACTACCTCTACCCCAAGCAACCTTGCTGAGACATGAATGCCATTGTTCCTCACCAGACCCATGAAGGCAGCTCCGATTCCAAGCAGTGGACTCACTGCAATTATAACCAAGGTCAGCTTCCAGCCTCTAACAAATCCTAACAGGAACCCGCCAACAAAGGTGGTGAAGCGCTGGATAAAGATCGCTACTTGATCAGCAATAGCGTCATTTATTTTATTAACGTCACTGTGGAAAACAAGAAAAGTTGAAGCAGAAGATACATTTTCTTCATGTACAAGCAAGATCTTGATGAGAGTAACTGGTCTCGTTAGGAATTGATTTGTCATTTTTAATGCAACCATTTCATCAGTTCAGATAAGTTTGCCTCCCAGAACCCCTTAGCAAACATGATCATTGGACATATAGACTGAAAGATACTGAGATCTGTAGTCCAAAGTGTGAATTTTCCAAGCTCTCTCTCTCTCTTAAGAGGCAAATATTTTCCTGACATCAAATATGTGTTTGCATTTCCCCTGCGCTCCCATCCCATTTTCCAATATTCTCTCTAGGACTAGTTGCATCACACTTTGGCCACATTGATTGGTGAGCAAACAGAGAGGGAAAAGTACATGCATGGGTTCATAGCATCAAGAAGACATGCTGATCAGACACCACCCATTTGTGAAAAAGGACTGGCCAGGTGCATAATCTCCAATTGAGTTCAGATGCTCCAGTTTCTGTCCCCTCCCTTATGTCATCATCTTACTTCAGCTGCTGGAAACTACTCTCAAAGTGCCAGAGTAGTTTAACTCAATTAACTTAGCAGAAGTAGGAAAAAAGAATGGTGCCGATGGTTTGACTTTCCCAGAAGGCTAAGGTCAAAGCAAACTGCTGTATTTTCCTTTAGCTTGTGTGTTCTTCCTCATTGATATCTTTTGCCATCTTGACATCATTCAAATATTGCTCGGCCACATATGTCTAAGTGTTCATCATTTTAAAAAATTACACGGTATGTCAGTGGTGATTTAACCTGAGAAAACTCTATGGGGAAAATACAAATGACATGCCTATATTTTGATCTGTGAGATTCTGGCCTTCCTTACCAGAATGGTGCCTTCTCTTCCTACAAGCGTTATCATGGTTATGAATCTATTATGCTACCGATTTGGTTCTCTCAGCCAGTCACTAAGGTGTTACAAGATCCCTTTGCACACAGATAAGTCCATTATGGTATTTTCATGACCTCTTGAGCCTACATGCAAAGTGCAGTAATGGTCCCAGATACAGGAACCAGGGGGGTTTATAAAGAAGCAATCAGGGCAATTTCGAGATGTTTTGATGTTTAGAACTTCACACCAACCCCAACATGAAGATGTTTAGTAACTAAGGCCAGCCATAGAAGGCAGAAGGTAACATAGGAGGCAAAAAATCCTTCAAGCACTTCTATTCAAGCTTAGCAGGTAAACATACTATAATAGTAAATTAAATAACTAACAATTTGTTGCTCATTCAAAATGAGTAAAATATACTATCTAGAGTAGCTGTCTGAATGCAGAATTGTAGGGATAGCCCTGGTCCTGCCTCTCCTCTTCATCTTGGATACTGCGGCCCATTCCACACAGCTGTATAAAATTCACATTGAACTGGATTATATGACAGTGTGGACTCAGATAATCCAGTTCAAAAAGTTATTATTGATTATTTGCTTTGATACTGTGGGTTATATGGCTTTGTGGAATGGCCCTGCATCCACTGAATGCGTCCTTGATAGCATTGTGAGTCTCATTAATAGAAGATACACAATGCCATCTTCAGTCATATTATGGACAAAGTCCCAGCTGTCTAGCAGCCAATTTGGCAATGCATTTGGCAGAGTCAAAAACTGAGTAAGCCCCTGCTACCCCTACCTTACAAAGGCTGCTCATTAGTATGCAAAGCCTTAAAAATATGCTGGTACACACCCATACCCATAGATTACCAGTTTACTCACTCAGAAATTCGTGTATTGAGTTCTCCCACTGATGTACAATCAAACCAGCCTATATCCATCCTCATTACTTTCCTGAAATAGGCTTTTCTGATTTGTTGTGTCTGTCGAGCAGCCGACATTACCCAAAAGCAGATCTGGGAAGAAAGCAAGCATAGGAAATGACTGTTTGTGTACATGTATCATGAATGCATGAAAAACAATTTTTGAGACATTATGCCAGACCATAATGCAAAGTGTGGCAACACAGCCAGCTAAATGAAATATGTTCTAGTTTCCAATAATACTTGGCCCTGTTTCATGCCTTCCATTATTATCATGCTTGACGAATTGAGCTTTGGTAATATTTCGCTGGCAAAAACAGTTACACTCAAGATATTGGTTGAATGGCTTAGCTATAATGAGGGATATGGAAATTCAAAAAGCTACCTTATACTGAGGGCTTGCCTTCATTGGCCAAAAACAAAAAAAACACCCTAGGTTCACTGTGAAACTATTGCTTTCAGTTTTTAAAATGCACAGCAACTTTTGGTGAGTATTCCAGAATTTCTGAGTTTAATCTGACTTTGGCCCACTTAAGGAAAAGTCAGGGATATGCTGGTGTTTGCTGGAAACTCCAGAGTATCACGGGACTTTATGGCCATCTGGGTTGGGTTCATTTTGGCCTGGTCCCCTGTCCAGATGGAAACTGACACCATTACTCTTTCCTGTGATGATTAGTGCAGGAAAATGGGATGACCCTTCCTCTGTATCACTGCCCCTGCTCACTACCATCTGCAGGCCAAAATGGACCCAATGAATGAATGGTAATTGTGGTAACATATGCTGATGTCCAAACAGGATACTCCATGAAGAGGAAGAAGGAAGGACTCAATTGTGTGATGTAGATGTGGCCTGCATCAGATGCTTGGTTCATCTTGATTAGCATCCCAGTGCTGTCAACTCTAATTGGCAGCCATAGCTGTCCAGAGTTCATAGAAAAGATTGTTTTTATAGTCCTACCTGGAAATGCCTGTAGTTGCCTAGCTGTCTCCCATCCAAATTCTAACTAGGCCTGATCTTACTTAACTGAGCATCAAAAATCAGATGAGACTGGATGTATTTAGAGTAATATTATGGGGCTCAGGATGTTTTGTTGGAACAAATAGAATGTATATGGCACAGAGATTATTATGTGCTGGAAATTGTTGTCGGGTAATCTATTGCCTTAGTCACTTTAGTCTTGTATTCTATTAAGATTGTAGTTCCCAGGCTTTTCTGCCTCCAAGGAACAACTTTCACATCAGATTACTGGTGTTGGAACTACTGCATGTAGCAGGGGATTCTGAAGAATTTTCAATGGAGCAAATTCAGTTTGAGCATAGTGCTCCCCAGGACACCACAACATGCCTTGGTGTTTGTGTATTGCAAGAGATGCTGAACACTGGGAGGTAAATTGCTTTTCAGATATTCTTGACTGCCATTAATAAAAATGATATTAGTATACCAGCAGGCATCCAGTTTGGAAATCTCTCCTGTATATGTATGATTAAGGGGATATTCACACAAATTGCCTATTTGTATGTTTTACACATTATGGGGAATGAGAGGAAACATCAGTTGTACAAGTATACTATTCTTTATGGAGAACAGAGGCCTACAAACACAGAGACAGACACATATAGAATGTCACTGTGAGACAGAAGCATAAACATTATCAGACCTAATTCAGTGAGCACATAATGATTTTGGCATCTATTAATAGATGATTCTCATAGATTCCACAGAGTTCTGCTTTTTCTACCTTCTACTGGCATCATAGGTCTAGAAGAATTGAGAAGAACATAAGATCATGCGACAAGGCCATTCGGATGGCAGGACTTCTATTGTAGAACCCTTCTCCTGCAGAGATTAAAATGGATCCATTTCTGTTTCTCTTTATGCAGTTTGTTGAGACATTTTAGTTTCAAATAACAAACCTTATGATAGTTTTATTAGACTGTTTTATTTTGGCTTACTTTAATGTTTTTTAACTGGTAGTAACATCTTCACTTCCTTGGTACTTCATCACACTAGAGAATAAAGTACTAGGTGGCAGAATTCTCTGACCTGCACATAGATTTACAGTCATTATACTCTGAAGCCAGCAGGGAGGAGACTAAGGGTGTACCTACACTGTAAGATTAATGCGGTTTAACACCATTTCAACTGCCATGGCTCAATGCTAGTAAATTTTGGTAGCTGTAGTTTTGTAAGGTCTTTAGCGTTCTCTGCCAAATTGTCCAAATTGTCACCAAACTACAGCTCATATGATTCCATAGAATTGAGCCATGACAGTTAAAATGATGTCAAACTGCATTATTTCCAAAGTGTAGATGCACTCTAAGAGACAAAGTTATTGAGTTGCACCTCCCACCTGTTTATGGCTAGACATCTTTCTCATGTGGCTACAGGATGTCATTGCAGCAGGGAGCATCAGCTGGGAAAGTGATTAGCCATGGCTTTACTCAGGCTGCTTCCTCACAGACATTTAATCTGAGTCAGGGTGTGGATTTAAGAATTTATTTATTTATTTTTAGCCCACTTTTCTCCCATGGGTGGGACTCAAAGCGGCAAACAATAAATAGAATGACAGAAATTACATGATACAAAAGCAAGACAAAACTGATAAACAGATAACACAATTAAATAAACCATAGTCAACAATTTTAATAAAAAGAACATGGTCCACTAAAATTCCCTGATCCAAAGTTAATGTGGACTCTCTTTCATCTTCCTGCCTATGCAGGTATCTCACAAACCAGCAGAAGATGAAAGAAAGTCCACATTAACTTTGGATCAATGAAACCCAGGGTGATTTTTTTCTTACCTCCTTACAAAAACAGTTTCCCAGTGCTTGCCTCACCGCTCAGCCAATCAAGGCAGTAAAATCGATCGTTGCCAGCTTTCCTTGCCGGGTTTCAGTAAGAGGAACTGTTTTTTTGCCTTCTGGCTGGACTGTGTAGCTGCTTTTTTTTTTTTTAACTTTGAAATGCTTTCTTACTGTTGTTCACATGAGTGCTCTACATTTAGCATTTGATTTATGCACAAGAGTGATTCAGCTGGTTATATGGCTTGAATCAAAATTTCTGGTCATTTTTAATCATGCTGCTTGTGGCTGGATTCACTTTGGAGTTTGCATTGGGGGGAATGTTTTCTGGACACTCAGACCTCAAGCTGGCTTTAAGCCGAATTTTAGTGCCTCTGCCAGGATGGGCATAATGTGTCCAACTCTGTGAGCTGTGTCATTTTCTTGAAGGCTTTGGAATACTACATTGAACCCTTTATGAACTTGTGCAAAGCCAGGAACTTTTGCTAGTTAATAATTTAACCAATTTCAATTTAATCCCCCTCTCCACCTAGTACATATTGATCAAGCTCTATGGCAGCGCAAGTAGCTTGCATGAAGGCAAGGAGTGGAGCTGAATAACAACAGAGGCGGCACTAATAATAGATCTCCTGTTTCCTTTAATTGTTTTCTGGAGGCGTTGTTTTTTTTTTTTATTGCTATATGCATTTGTCTAGAAAGGGAAGGAGGAAAGCACGACTTGGCTAAATCTATGAGAATGCTTTATGCATATGTGCCCTGTTTGTGGCCAGGACACGCAACTATCTACTGCCAAATATATTTATATTATTTTAGTTAAGTGAATCAAACATTGTTTTGCTTTGACATAAATATCTGCTTATCTTCTAAGCCAAATGCAGGGAGAATGATTTGTATATTGCAGAAATCATGTAATATACACGAAAATTGGCTGCTAAATAATTTCAATACTAACTTGAAGGTATCCAAGCACAAGGACGGTACATCCAATTCCTGCATAGTAACTTGCAAAATAGGTCATTTCTTTTTCAATATCCAGCAACCTATTTAAAAGGAAAGGGAAATCAACAGTATTGACCCTAAAATCTTCCCAAATGAATAAACAATACTGGAAAATGCTGAATCTCTATACTACAAAGCTCAAGTTTCTAGAGGATGGAGCCACTGTGGTTAAAATTGATATAACTGTGCACCATGGACTGAACTATTGATCCTCTGTAACAAACTACAATTGCCTCAAACTACAATTGCCTGGTTTTAGTGCAACTAAATAACCATTTTACTTGCACTGGAGTTACAGCTTTAAAAACCCAATGACTTAGTAGGTTGTTGTAGGTTTTTCCGGGCTATATGGCCATGTTCTAGAGGCATTTTCTCCTGATGTTTTGCCTGCATCTATGGCAAGCATCCTCAGAGGTAGTGAGGTCACCCAGTGATTCCGGCCATGAAAACCTTCGACAATGCATCCAACGACTTAGGTTAAGGATAGCTTGCTTATGTGGATAAGAGGCCCATGTTTAAAAACTTTGCTAAGGTTTACAAGGTTCCTAAATAACTTCTGAAAAGGCATAGGGAAGCCATTATGAACCCCAGAGATCACAAAGAAATAAATATATCGGTCAATTGCACATTTAGTTCAATTGTCTCTAGCCATCAAATTCTACCATTAGTAAAGGAAACTTTATGTTTTGTACATAAACTTCTAGTGGAAAGTGGGTGTAATTGTTTCAGCTGTCGAAAATCAATATTTATCATAATTACCTCAATAACAAAAAAGACCACAATAGATCAAGGCAAATTGGGGGAGGGGGGAAGTTAAGTATTTTATTTTTGATACTTTCTGTTTTGCATTGAGAACTGGTTGTGCTTGATTGGACTCAGTGGTAATGTTTGCTTTTTCAAAAAGTGATTGATGTTGAATGAACAAGTAGCAACAACTCCAGCTCTAGAGAGGTTGCAATACTAATTTCTCACATAAGAGAGACAGGATATCAATTAATACATTAATCTGCTGTAATAATGAAGGCTGCAGAACCAATGCTAAGTTATACAAGCTGAAGCCTACCAACCTCAGTGAGACAATCACAACTAGCTGGAGGCAAGAACATAACCTTATCCATCAAATTAGCTCCTAAGTAGCTGTGTGGCAGGTAATTGCAACCAATGCCCTTTAATAACACAAGAGAAAGAAAACATTTGTTTCACTTACCCACAACTTACTGATGCATTACTGTCATTCTGATGATGGGAACTGTTGATCCACACTATTGTATTATTCACACATGCTTTATTGGGGTCTGCAAGCTCCTGTCTCTCAATATCATATTGAATGAAGGCATCTGTCATTAAGCCAAAGACCAACAACATGGCAGGCTGGGCTACTCCATGAAGAATAGCACAAATGCTACCCAAGACCATCATCAGTATCTCAGATGAGGAAGCAAATCTAAACTATTTGGAACAACAGAGAAAAAGTATTCACAAATATTATTTGCTAAATTTCTTTTCTGTCCATTCTTTATCCATTGTTAACAATGGAGTAACAGATTACAGTGATGCCTTCTTTTGACAAGCACTATGTTTCCATGCATTTAAACAACTGGTCTTCTATATTATTTTAATTTTCCCAAAAAAAGATAATTTTCATAAAGAAGGGGAGTTTTTAGTCAATATTTGGAAATATGTTTTAACCTTTATTTGCATGAATGAGGAACAAAAAAGAAAAAAAGGAAGTCCCATGATACTGGTAATAGTTTATTGGTCATCATCATGGGATTTAATCTCTCTTTTTGGCGACTGCTTCCCAGTTTTGCTTCCTCCCACCATTGTATGAATGGTAGTTCATTTTCCAGAACTGTTCACAACCATGATTTTAAACAATAATGAGCAGAAATTACACTGGGAACCATGAGTAGATCTTGGTGATTTGGAAGATGAGCAAGGGCTTATTACTCTCCCAAGTGTTTAACAATAAAAAGAATAATACTTTAAAAGAGAAGAATGCTACTGACAGAAATAAAGTTTTGGGGAACACACGTGGATTTTTGTGTGAAAGGGCTGTGCACTTGCTTCTGGTACTAGCCACAAATTCCTTGGCTAGGCTTGCGCTCAGAAGCAACCAGAGGTCTCTCCCAATATCTGGAAATCCATCCATCCTTAATCTCACAAATTACATCATTTTTGAGAAATATAAAAATCAAGAATTATATTACCAGCTGAAAGAAGCCAACTCGAATGATATCCTTTTTCTTCTCCGTCCTTTAAAACAAAGTAAAAGGTCTAATATCACAAGACTGCATTTTAGTTGTCACTACCGCTTCAGTCATACTTGAACACTTTTGCTGGAATACTTGATTAACTTTGTAATAAAACAAAGGATTGTCTGGGATTCCTGGCCTCATGGCAATATCATCCCAACACTGACAACACCTGCTCTCTACAGATTACCACAACCCACTGAATCCAATCTGTGGCTAACACTCATTGGTACTCTGGTCTTCATGGTTAGTCAACTGGACTACTAAATATTTGAAATAGTATGTAAAAAAAATATCACTAAGGCATTTTTAAAGAGATGAGTGAATTAGGTCAGCACTTAAGCTGCTAAAAGAGAAAACAAAATCAAACATTCACGAAGCAAATTATACATTTACTAGGTTCTTGTGGGTTTTTTCGGGCTATAGAGCCATGTTCTAGAGGCA